TTGATGTATTTACCGTCTCTTACTATTAATTTTATTATTATTCGGTTAAAATTAAATCAAATAATTATAAATAATATTAAATAAGAATCATTGAATTGATGGTAAGGGTAGTAAAAAAATTGATAAATATAACTTATCACAATATATACATAAAGTATTAATATTTTTCATGTTATATGAGATAATTTTATTTTTCACAAACAAAATATATATATAACTCATTTTTTCTCTCTCTTAATATGGCTTTATATGAGCTCACATACTTTTATGCGTATAAAAGTTATCTCTTATAACATAATAAACATTAATCTCATACATAAAATATAAAAATCAAAATAAAATAATGAACAACATTGATTGAATTTATTTAAGGAATTAATATTTATCATATTGTAGGAGATAATTTTATCTCCTACAAATACATAAAAGTGTATAGGACCCATCTTTTCTTTTTCTCTCTATCCTCTTCATATGGTCCTATATGCCATATACACTTATATATATATATATATATATATATATATATATATATATATATATATATATAGAGATAATTTTATTTTATACAATATAAGAAACATTAGTCCCTCTATTTAATCACAAATTATTACACCAACTCAAGGATCTTTTTTTTTTTTTTAATTATTACAAGGTTCTTAAATTCCAATGTTATTGTTCCTAGTCTCTATGATGCATTGACACTTAAAAAAAACCCAGACACCAAATCCATCATGACGGAAGTTATGCAACAGCCTGACTCATGGCCTGGTTATAGGGTGTCCAAGGGCTGCCTCTGGTTTAAGGACAAGTTAGTAATGCCAGAATCCTCACCCATTAATGCGTGAGATTTTATATGAGTTTCATTCAACCCCATAAGGCAGGGGGCACTCGGGTGTGATAGTAACTTATAAGAGGTTGGCTATTGTTTTCTATTGGAGGGGGATGCAGAAGGACATTGAGAAGTTTGTTCATGAATATGGGATATGCCAACAACAAAAGTATCAAGGGTTAATACCTGTAGGATTGTTGCAACCCTTGCCGATACCTGCTTAGATTTGGGAAGACTTACCTATAGATTTTGTGGCTGGCTTTCCGAAATCCAAGGGTGTGGACACAATCCTAGTAGTGGTAAATCGTTTGACAAATTATGCTCATTTCATGACTGTCACTCACCTATTCACTGCAGAAGATGTAGCTTTGCTGGTTGATAAGAAGGTAATTCGATTGCATGGTCCACCTAGGTCCATTGTTTCAGACCATGACAAAGTCTTCATCAGAAAATTCTGGTGTGAATTATTCAAATTGTCGGGGACGAAGTTGAAATTCAGTTTCGCTTACCATCCACAAACAGATGGTCAAACAGAGGTTGTGAACCGTATATTGAAACATACTTACGCTATTTTGCAAGTGGGAACCTGATAACTCTCCCAAATGAGAGTTAATTTAGTATTTTTATGATGAATTTGTTGCATAAATTCCATATAAGTTGACCTCTTTGCATGATAATTGAGCTAATTATTGTATATTTATGATTAAGTGCTTTGAGATGACTAAGTATGGAAAATAAGACAATATCCCTTGATTTTGTGTAAGAAAATATGACTTGTTGAATGTTTGTCTTCGCAGGGAAAATTGACGTAAGAATGCTGTAGCAGAGAAGCTGACGAAGTAATGATATAGCAAGCGCTACAGCATGACAACGTGGACAAAGGAACAACCGAACTTTTGAAATTCAAAAGTTAGTTATTCTCCAACCATACACCAACAAGCAAAGGAAGTTTCTGAAGATTTAATCCAGAAATCACAAGGGTCAAAGACAAATTCAAAGATTGAATCTAATCCGAAAATCCCAAAGAACAAGGACAACAACCTTGATTCGGTCAACAACATTGGCACAAGAAATTCAAGAAGATAAAGATCTTATCCAATTAAGTGCCAACAAATCCAAAAATCCCAAGAAATAAAGACAACAAACTCAGCTCTTATTCGGTCAACAACAACATTGGCACAAGGATTCCAAGAAGATCAAGATTTTATCCAACAAGTGCCAACAACCCAAGAATCTAGGGATACGATAAGGCTGCAGCAACAAGATTCTTGGATTTTCACTCCTAACCCTAAATCCCAATTATCCAACCACTTTCCCTATTTAAAGAGGAGTTCCCTCACGGATTCAACAAGCGAGAGAGAGGTCAGAAAGGCAAGAAAGAAGGGAGGGGAAGAATGTAGTACCCCTCCCACATTTTAGAGAGAGAAAGTAAAGTTCTTGGAGAAGGAAGAACTGCTGGAGCAGTGCTGGAGCAAAGCAGTGACGACGTTTTCCTACAGCATTCGTTTTCATCTTCTTTTCTGTTCTCCAATGAGTTCTTTCTTTCTTTTCTCTGTTTTATTTAATTCCATTATGAGCTAAATTGCTCTATAGGTTAGGTGATAAAGTACCTATGCTGTAACATTGAGATGTATGCCTAAACTTTGTTTTTATTAATGTTTAATTAGTTATTCAACGAGTTTGCTTAATCTCATTCATGTGTGCATGTCGAGAGATACATATATGATATTGAGGATGTTGGGGCCGAGTGGTTTCCGAATCCAGACCCTTGTTGAATTATGTGGATTAATTAGGTTAAGAAAATTAACTTGATTAAGTTGTGGGTAGAGAGATCATTCACACCACGTAGCTTTTGAACTTGAACTTTCATAATGCAGTAATTAGTTTGGCCATAGAGATGTGGGAATTAGTTATTGGGTATATATGTTAGGTTGGCCAAAAGCCCCAGCATACCTTAGTGTTCGGTTACTAGTTAAACATTGATATAACATTGTTAAAGCATCGTTTCAGTATTGTTGTATCAGGGAAATTGAACTTGACCTATATTTCATCCATCACTTTAATACCTTTAATTTTAGTTTACTATTTCTTAGTTTAATTATATTTTATTTTACAAACCCAACCATAAAATTCAATCTTTGTCTATTTTCTTTACTTAAATAATCATTGCTTTATAAATCATCTCCGTGGGAACGATACTTGGACTCACACATCCCTTTATTACTTGTGACACGTGCACTTGCGTATTTGTGTGATTGATTTAATTGATTGCAATTTGCACAACAGAACCTGAAGAGTTGGGCTACATGGCTTCCATGGGGTGAATTTTGATTCAACAGTACTTACAATCGATCTTCCCAAATGACTCCTTTTAAGGCTATGTATGGGAGAGATCCTCTTTCCATTGTTACATTTGATAAGGGGACAACTTCAGTGGCAGCAGTGGACCAATGGTTGGAGGCTAGGGATGCAGTGTTGGCTGATCTGAAACAAAACCTCTGCAAGGCTCAACAAAGGATGAAGAAGCAGGCTGATATGGGTTGAAGGGAGGTTATCCATGAAGTGGGTGAAATGGTTTATCTGAAAAAGCAGCCCTACAAGCTAATATCATTAGCGAAACACTTGAATCAAAAACTGAGCCCATGGTTCTATGGCCCATTTGAAGTGGAGGAGAGAGTTGGGCCTGTAGTTTACAGATTAAAACTTCCTGGTTATTCAAAGGTACATCCAGTCTTCCATGTTTCTCAACTTAAGAAAGCTATTAACCCCAGTGTACCTATTCTCCCATTACCAAAATGCTTATCAGAATCTTTGAAGCTCGAAGTCCAACCAACAACTGTAATGGATGCGTGTCGATTGCTCAATGGTCGAGTGGAGGTACTGGTGCAGTGGGAGGGTCTCCCTGTATGTGAATGGTCATGGGAGGATGTTGACGAATTACATGAATTGTTCCCATCTTTTCACCTTGAGGACAAGGTGAATGTCATAGGGTGGAGTAATGATGGACCCCCAAATTGAGTATACTGTCACAGAAGATGGAAAAATAACGGTATAGCCAGTGAGGCCCAAAACCATCCCAAGACCAGTGAAAAGAGTAATGAACAACTCAATGAAGAGAGTAATCAACATACCAAATCCAAGGAGGAGCGTGTAACTACTGAGAAGGGGAATTTGATAGAGAAGGAAAAAAATTAAGTTTGTTAAGAGAACAGACACGTGAGTGGCTCTGAATGGTGAGGGAAATGTGGTTGGTGTGGAGAATGGAGAGTTAGTTATAAGGGGGAAAGAAGGAAATATGAGGGGTATATGAGAATATTGCAATAGTGGGTTCGGAGAGGGAAGCTCAATGAGGTGGTGGATTGCTTTGTTGAGGGAGTTCTGATTACTGTTATCATTTCTATGTTGTCATTAGTGTTGCGAGTCTTAATTTTGTCATGTAGTAGTGTTTTGTAGTGGTGTGCTACTACATGTGACGTCTATAATTCAGGTGAAGAGTCCGTGTTATTTCGTTCTTATTTCACCATTATCATTGTGTCTGTAAATTGATTGTTTACTTTACATTGTTGGGTACCATCAAATTGGGTTTATATTAAAATTAGACACTTCCCACACTCCAATATGCGTTACATAGACTCAAAAAGGGGTTTAATTGTTGCGTTTTTAGTTTCAACAATTAAATTTATTGGATTACGATTTTTATTTTATTGAATTTAATATTAATATTTGTAATATCTTATATTTTTTTACAAATTTGATGAGTTAGTATAAATTTAACTTTATTTTTTTATTAAATTATTAAATATCAAATATAATAATATACATTATATATATTAAAAATAGGGGTTTGCATTTGTCATTTAACATGACACAACAAACTTTCCTACACATAACATTTTGTGGAACCCACACTTTTTGAAGAAAAAAGAAAAAGAAAAAATTACGGCACGTAAAACGAATTTCTATAACATTACAGAATCATTTTTTTTACGATATAACTCTTATAAAATTCTTAAAAATATTATTTAATATAAAAACATGATATAACATGTTAAAATTTAATATTTTTAAAATTAACGCGAGTAACTGAATCTCATATAGCGAGTCCGTGTCGTGCAAGATAGCATGGTCTTGCACTACACTAACTAACAGAAGTTTCTATTTCATACGTTTCAATTCAATTTCAATTTCTTTTCATTTCAATTACCGAATTTTATCAGATCTGATTTCATTTGGAATTCCAATTATCCAGTTCAGTCGCTTTCCACGTCAGTCACATCCCCAAAAAAAACTTTTGAACTTCGAATTTCATTTCTGATCCCAAAAAGGAAAAGAGAGGGGAAAACCAACAAGAAAACAAGAACCCCACTATCCAAATGTTTCGTTTCGAGCAGGAAAAGATCCGAAAACGATTTTGACTTGGAAATTTTTTTTCTCCTGTTCCCCAATTAAGTGCTTCCAAGCTTGGCGGCTGTTGCCATGGCCGATGCTCTCTCGGTGGTTCCGGCAGCCGTGCTCCGTAATCTTTCTGACAAGCTCTACGAGAAGCGCAAAAATGCTGCTATTGATGTTTGTCCTCAGCCCCTTTTCATTTCTCTATATTTTATTTTTGCAATTCGCTCAATTTGAGGTTTTAGGGTTTTGGGAGGTTTTTCTTTGACTTTAGTTGATTATGGGTGTATGGTTGTGCATAGATTGAGGGGATAGTGAAGCAGCTAGCTGCTGCTGGGGAACATGATAAAATAACGGCTGTGATCAATTTGCTGACTACGGAATATACTTTTTCACCACAAGCCAATCAACGGAAGGTGACATTTTTTATTTTATTTTTTGAAAAAAGAATGTTGATTTCTTTTAATTTGGCTTCAATATATTGGTCATGTTATATGCTGAGTTTTTTTTTTTTTTTTTTTTTTTTTTATTAATTTCAATGAAGGGAGGATTGATAGGATTAGCTGCTGCAACTGTTGGGTTGACTTCTGAAGCAGCTCTGCATCTTGAGGTGAGGGGTTGCTCGCATTTTAAACTTTTGTTTTTTTATCCTAGATTGTTTATTTCTTTATCTGGGCTTACAATTTGAACTCTTTCCATTTGAAAAATTAAGGTAAATTCTTTCTAGTTGTACATCAGAAGCTTATCAGTGGTCAATTAATCTAATGGTACCTCCACCCCCCTTAACAATGCACATTTGTTGTGCACGAAATAATAATAGGCGCAATTTTTTATTCAAGGAATATCAGAAAAGAAAAAGAAAAAGAATGGTTTCACCTTAAGGGATAGAATTGAAATTTGTGAATTTTGGCAAGCTAAATTATATCTAACAGTTAGCAGCAATTTATTCTTTTGAAATGAATTTATTGCAAGCATGCATTAATATTATCCTTCACTTTGTTATTGAGCTTTTTTTCACATGCCTAAGCATATATATGCTTTTCATTACCCTTCTTACCTACATATAATTCTTTCACTTGACAGCGAATTGTCCAACCCGTGTTAAATTCTTTCTCTGACCAAGATAGCAGAGTTCGTTATTATGCTTGTGAAGCACTATATAACATTGCCAAGGTGAGGATTTGATTGTACTGACACATGTACAGCTTCATTCTGATCATCTACTATCCTCTGATGCGCATCTTTTTCATTTTATGTCAGGTTGTGAGAGGAGATTTTATTATTTTCTTCAACCAGATCTTTGATGCTTTATGCAAGCTTTCCGCTGACTCAGATGCCAACGTACAAAGTGCTGCTCACCTCTTAGATCGGCTTGTGAAGGTATAAGTTTTTCCTGATCTCCAATAAAGCCTTTGTGTGGCTTTACATGTATGCACATAACAAACATATGCTGAATAGTGATTGATCTGACAATAATTTGAGTTGCCATTCCCTTTAGATCAACTGATGATTAAACATTGCTTTTTTGGAACAGGATATTGTGACTGAAAGTGATCAGTTCAGGTGCACCATGCTCTTACATCTATATTATTTGTTTCTCTGTATCTAGTGTTTTAAAATTTCAAAAGATTTGTAGGTGCAGAGATCTGTGAATGTAATTTTTTAACAGACCTTCAATAGGTGAGAGATGTAAGCACCATGAGGTGTGAAGTGGTCTCGTACTTAATGAAGCAACTTTCACTTTTCATAACCAAAATGAAATAATGAAAGTCAATCTATTCCTCCTTACTATAATTTACACTGCCTCATTCCCCTCCTGTTTTTCTTTTTTGTTCTTTAGTATTGAAGAATTTATACCACTATTGAGGGAGCGCATGGATGTATTGAATCCATATGTCCGCCAGGTTTTGGTAGGATGGATTACTGTATTGGACAGCGTCCCAGATATTGATATGCTGGGTTTTCTTCCTGATTTTCTTGATGGTAAGCATATTGTTTGAAGAATGATCATTTTCTTTCCCAACATATTATGAAAAATGAATTTCAACCACCTAATCATATATAAACTTCTCAGGCTTGTTTAATATGTTGAGTGATTCGAGTCATGAAATACGTCAACAAGCTGATTCAGCTCTTTCAGAGTTTCTTCAAGAGATTAAGAACTCCCCAGTAAGGCACCTACTAATATATTTTTCTCCTTTTTTTTGAGTTGTAAGGGTTCTGCACTTTTAAGAGTCTAGCTCTTTTTTTTTTCCTTGTTATCTGCCTAAGGAATTTATTGTAGGCTGAAGCTATTATCCTCTTTTGTTTGGTTCCCATCTTTTAGGGTGCATCTATTTGTTATCCCAAATGTTCCCAATTCTGTTTTTGTATCATTGGATTTCCTGTTACCTGCGTGAATATGATTTTTTGCAGCCATTATCCTCTTTTCCATAACCCATTTTTCAGGGTTGATACACCTGTTAACTGTTAACTTGCATTTGTGTTGATTAACTGTGCTGCACATCATTTTCAGCTTCTATTTTGACACAAGCAAATTTTTTTGTTCATTTGTCATTTTCTGACTCAAGCAGTGCTACTCTTGAAGTCTGTAGATTATGGTCGAATGGCTGAAATACTGGTACAGAGGGCAGGTTCTCCAGATGAATTTACTAGGCTAACAGCTATCACATGGGTAAGTGGTATTGCAATCCTTTGACTTGAAAGACATGCATTTACCGTTATCATACTTTATGCTTTGTATTGGTATCTTCTCAAGACTAATATTTCTTTTTAGATCAAAAGGAAAATTTTCAATTACTTTTTTGTGAGTCATTTGTGCTTTCTTATTTTAACAGATAAATGAGTTTGTCAAACTTGGTGGAGACCAGCTTGTTCCTTATTATGCTGACATTCTTGGAGCCATTTTGCCTTGTATATCGGATAAAGAAGAGAAAATTAGAGTTGTAGGTTCACTTGAGCTCTCCTTTTATATCTCCCCCCCGTTCTTCTCTCTGTTTTTCCCCTTTTTAATCGCATGGGTAGAACAATAAGTTTGAAATTATCTCTGGCTTATGTATAAGGTTGCTCGTGAAACAAATGAAGAGCTACGTGCCATGAAGGCTGATCCAGCTGAAGCATTTGATGTAGGAGCAATCCTCTCCATTGCCAGGAGGTGTAGTTTTTTGTTTTGTTTTGTTTATTTTATTTTTCCTGAGAAAAGAGGCCAGGTTTGGATTTTGTAATACATGAAATTCAAATATTTTGGATTTGATAGTGGTTTGATCACTATAGAGAAATAATTATGAGGGTCCTTTTTGTTTAGCCAACACTATTTTGCACTTGTTATTCTGTAGAATAATTTTGGGATGGTTTGACTGATCAGGCAATTATCTAGTGAATGGGAGGCTACTCGAATTGAAGCTTTGCACTGGATATCAACACTTTTAAATGAACATCGTACAGAGGTGACGAGATTGTTTGAATTCAACTTTTATTTTGACATTTTTTTGGGGCCTCTGTACATCTGTATAGTTTTTCTTCTTTCTTAATATGTCTAATATAATACATATAATTATTATTTGATGTGGTTTAATTATAATACCACCTTTTCCAGTCTGGTCTAATTAACCTGGAAATAAATATGGCATTTTCATGACTAACAAATAATATACAATTTACCTACTGATTTTTCAATTGGCTTTCTCTTCCTTTAGCGCAAAGTTTTCTTTTGTTATTAATGTCAACCCCTCTTTAAGTAATTTATATTTCTATTTACCTGAAATGCTCTGTGGAGGCTTTTATGTGATCTCCTTTATGCCAATGAGAGATTTTTGTGTTCATCCTCATATATTGACTTTTCTTGTCTGAAACAGGTTTTGCAATTTCTGAATGACATATTTGACACCCTGCTCAAGGCACTTTCAGATCCATCTGATGAGGTAGCCTTGTTATCCTGGTGTTATTTTTTAATCTATTCATTTCTCAAAATCTTTGTGCAAATGTGGTTTAATTGTACGTTTAACTTATAAGTAAGTTACACTGTTATTTGATTAAACCATATAGATAAGTTACTGTTTTCATTATTTTCAACTTAGGATGCTCAGGTTCACCCCTCTCCCCTTCTGGGAAATACAGTCTCATTGACTCTTGTCCATGTAGGTTTCATGCATGAAATTTACTTTGTGGCATCCGCTAGGATAATTGGTACTTCGTGATTGGAGTTTAGAGTTTTAATATTTACAGGTCAAAGCAGGACAATTTTTTGAGTAGCATCAGATAATATGATTGACAATTTTTTAATTTTTATTTTTCAATTTTGCATTTTTGAGCCATTTTGGCTCACTCGTTTCCTTAAATTTTCCTAGTTAGGAGGATTTTCTATGCTCCCCCAGGATGTAACTTTCTTTTCTTTTGTTCTAGTATTGTATTCTTTGGAAAAATGGAGCATGTATTTTGGTTTTGTTAGAAACCTTTCTGCAATCCCACACTCAGATAGGTTTCTTGCATATATATACCTTTTGGACTCTTGACTACAGGCTAAATAAAAATGATTTTTTGAAGTTTCCTCTATTCTTTGTTTGCAATATCGTTCACTTTTTGCGAACCAACAATTCACTTGAATTGTCAGTAATTCATCACAATTTTTTAATTGAATAGGTTGTTCTTCTAGTTCTTGATGTTCATGCATGCATTGCAAAAGATCTTCAGCACTTTCGGCAGCTTGTTGTTTTCCTGGTGCACAATTTCCGGGTAGACAATTCTCTTTTGGAGAAGTAAGCTCTTTTCCTTTGTCCAATATATTGTTTAAACTATATGGTTTTGCTAAAATATGATTTTTTTACTACTAATTTTCTCTTTTTATTTATTAATTTTAACTATATATTATATTCTAGGCGTGGTGCTTTGATAATCCGCCAGCTCTGTGTGCTTTTGAATGCTGAGAGAGTCTACCGTGAACTTTCTACAATACTAGAAGGGGAATCAGATTTGGATTTTGCATCAATTATGGTTCAGGTTGGTTGTGACTTTTTTGAGAGCTTGAGTATAGCTGTAGCAGAATTACACTTCTCATCTATAGTCTTCACAGGTCTATGCCCGACTTCACCCCCAAAACAGAATATTTTAATGAAATTGCTGCACGAAGCTTGTACTTAATATATTTTATTTGCTTGCATTTATGGGCAGGATTAAATGGTTTTTATGCAAATTCTTATTACATAGCTAGCTAAACTTTACTTGTACTTATGGGCAACCCTATAAAAACCTAACTGTTGGTCTGTTAGATAATATGCATATACCTGACTTCCACATTGGTTTTTAATATTTTATGTTGTAGTTTAATGAATTTTGATTCTCAATACTTCAAAGGTCTATCCTTCTGCTAGTGATGGAAACTTGATATTGTTGCTGTACCTAATAGTGCTGAATGGTTCTTTGACAGTATTAAGTGCAATTATTATTTGTACAAATGTCCTCTTATAGGCTTCAATCAGTTATGCTCCGCTTAATTTCAATTATGGAAGAATTTTATATCTAACACATGTTAAATTAGGACTCTATTTTTGGTTCAACCACATTTTAACCAGCTATTAGTCTGTCAGATTTTGTGAAAATGTTGACTGTGTGTGTATAGATCAATTTGTGAGAGATCTGATATTCGAAATCTGAAAAGTAAAAGTGAGATGAGAAGCTTAATCTTCAAGTGATTAATGTGGGTTTTTATTTTATTTTCAGGTACAATCCTATTAATGACATCTTTAAGAAAAGATTATCAAGATATTATTTGATTTTTAGTGATTCCATAATCTATTTTAAACTTGATGAAAATAATCATGAGAATCACGGATCCTGGATATTACTAAAGTTTTTGATTGGCTCAGATCCTTGAAATTTTAACCATGCAAGGCACAGATTTTATGCGATTGTAGTTTTAATTATTAACTTCTCGTTTCTTGAAATCTCATTAGTGTTCATTTCATCATTTGTGTAATATCTGAGAGAAGTTGACAGTATTCATTTACTATAAAATTGGTATTGATATTGACATTAAGGGCCAATGATCCAATAGGGAGCTTTATGGAACTATTGAGAAGTTAATGACTGGTGTATAACTATCCAAGATGTTGAGGTGACAATTTGGGTTCACGGGTTGTTTATGGGTCGACACAAACACGAATACCCTTAATACGAACATCAAAACCCTCGACACGAACACAACCTGTTTACTACATGGGTTGACAGCAACATGAATATTCCAATAATTTTACTTTTTGAATGAGAATTACTTAAATAACCTCAAATTAATAAATAAAAGTGGGGTAAGTGAGGGTGAATATGTAATTATATAGTTTAAATGAGTCAACACGACACGAATACAAATACCCCTAACACGAACACGAAAATGAATATGGGTTGACATGAACATGAAAAATCCGTGTCATGTTCAGGTCATGTTGAAAATTGTCACCCTCACCTAGATGATGTTGGGGTCAACAGTTCTGACTCACTATGTTCAGAATAAATGCAGTAGTCTTTGTACTCATTGTTATATTTGCTATTTTTTTATTTTTCATGAGTCTGACCTGTAGCCAATCCAATGTATTGAAGTGGTATTCATCTACATTCATTATTTTCCCCTTTTTAAAAACTTTCCAGGCTTTGAATTTGATCTTACTTACATCATCGGAACTATCCGAGATTCGAGATCTTTTGAAGCAATCACTAGTAAATCCTGCCGGGAAGGATTTATATGTTTCTTTGTATGCCTCGTGGTGCCATTCTCCAATGGCAATTATAAGTCTTTGCTTATTAGCTCAGGTAGGTATCTAGAACTTGGTTTTGATTATTCAATTTGATTTGAAGTCTCTCTTGCACATGTGCACACAAAGACAAACACAAAAATTTTAAACAATGAGTATCTGTGGATAATAATTTAGCTTTATTTGGATCATATGCCCCCTTTTTGTAATATATATTATCTTCCTCGACAGACTTACCGACATGCTAGTGCTGTGATTCATTCTTTGGTGGAGGAGGATATTAATGTCAAATTCTTAGTGCAGCTGGATAAATTGATTCGCTTGCTGGAAACTCCAATCTTCGCATATCTTAGATTGCAGGTGCTTAACATCCACACATATCTTACAGTCTTGAAATAGAATATATTTTGTTATTAGTCTGGTAAAACATGATTAATATGGATGTTTTGGTTTTGTGATGATTAAGGCTAAAGATCAGTTTTCTTATTATTAATTTTTTCTTACTAAACCACTATTTCAATCTGTATGCCTTATTCCAAATTTTCATTTATCTTACCTGATGCCAAATACTAAAGTTTCCTGTTTGGATGAAACCTTGAGTCTAGAAATTTGATCTCATGATAAACATACATCTGATGCAGTCATTTATTATTCTATCCCCCCCCCCCCCCCCCCCTCTTCCCTAAAAACTTGTTTTGATAAAAATAAGAATTTGAGCTATTAATAGTATGAATGACATCGTAGGCATGACTTGTATCATTCATTTTTCCCAGTATGATAACCTGGGAGAGGGTTCCTTGTAAAGTAAATTGAGGGCAGGTTATCACATGGCATCCTTTTATTGGGTTTTCCTTTTTAACAAAAGAGAAAAGGAATAATGGGGAAATTTATTAGTTCTGTTACAATTGAAATGCCTGGTTGCTGCTATTTGTTGTGGCACTCAATTTGCTTCACAATGACGCCCATTGTTTTCCTCTCAAATCTCACCTCATATCATACTTGTGCTTTATAGTATGCAAAACTTTCTCTTGTACGAGATAAATCAAGTAAGGAATGATCACTCCTTCGTATCTGATAGGGGAGGAGAGATTACATGTGACGTGGCTTGAGTAATAGTAGTTGCTATGGGTTAGTTGTGTTAGATCCGTATTTTACGTAAGTTAGGGCGAAGCAGTTGTTGTAGTTGTATATAGCTATCAGCTTGAGGCATTGTAAGATATATGTGAATAATCAGAATTCTTGAATCAAATTCTTTTCTCTTCTTGACTTAGGAACTGCATTCCTAACAGTATCAGTGCAGTGATAGATAGTTGTATTCTTTCGTTGTTATTCCTATGTTCCAGATGGTCAATTCTTAGTCCTTTTTCTCTTCATTCCTCCCCGCCCGCCCCCCCCCGGGTGTCTCTCTCCTTATATTCCCCTTCCCCATCTTTTTATTTTTTCCACACCTTTTTTTTTACTTGTATATTTATATATATATATTTTATTTTTTGTCCTACTTTCTTACTCTTTTTTTGCCCTCCTTTATATCTTTATCTTTAGTTTACCTTAATATACTTTCCCTTTTAATTATTATATATATATATATATATATATATATATATATATTTCATTTCTATCTTTTTTTTCAATCTCTTCGTATTTTTCATTTGGGTTCATTTACCACCGACCCCAATTAGTTTGAGATTAAAGTGTTGTTGATGTTGATGTTTATGCATGTTTCTGAACCATTATTTAATTTTGCAGCTTCTCGAACCTGGAAGATATATATGGTTGTTTAAAGCTTTGTATGGTCTTCTGATGTTGCTGCCTCAGGTATGTGCAACTTAAACATTTGCTTTTTATCACTTAAATAGTTGTTGAGGTAAACTCTTGGAAATTACTGATTACAAATTACTGATTACATTGATTTGACTCTTTTTGCATTTACGAGTGAGATTTTGCTTTGTATCACCCAGTTTACTGGTGTACATCACTACATTCATAATAAAGGCTATTTATCATATAATTATATTTCTATCTACTTAATCTAGCTATTTACTAGTTGTGCCAAAAGAAAGATTATGCGTTATGTAGGTTGAGTAAATTATTTTTCTCATTCTTAGTTGAACGTATCAACTCTTGGAAATGCTGATGACATAAATGGTTTACTGTTTATATTGACACTTCGTTTTTTACCATTATGCAGCAAAGTGCTGCCTTTAAGATATTAAAAACTCGTTTAAAAGCTGTGCCATCTTATTCTTTCAATGGCGAGCAATTGAAGAAAACATCCTCAGGTAATCCGTATCAATTTCTTAATCACATGGCTGGTGGATCTCAAATCACTGAGGATGATGACATAACTGTGGATGGTGGGAACTCACGCACAGGAATAAATTTTGCTGCAAGGCTACAACAGTTTAAGCAAATGCAGTACCAGCATCGTGTGCATTCGAAAACACTGGCCCAGTCACGCAAAAATTCCACCTCGTTATCAAAGGTTGCTGACTTCTTCATTCTGTATGTTACTTATTTTTAAGTATAAACTTGAGAGATTAGATAATGGGGCCTGTTTTATCATTACTTAACAAGCCATATTCTCCTTTTGATGTATTATGAAAGTCATCAGTTGTGTTTTCTTATGTCAATTTGCAGGAGACACAGAGACAGGAAGAACCAAGGCACCTCAATTGAGTGACATTAATATTCCTCCTTCAAGGTCATCCAAGAGAGGTCCAGGCTAGCTGGAATGTAGCTTCTTGCTCATATTGAGTCTTATTGTTTTGTAAAATTGTAAAATTGCTCATATTGAGCCTTATTGTTTTGAACGGGATCGGGTATTGATTTGTAAAATTGTAAATCATAGTAACTACTTGTTATATTCTACTTACCATAGAAGGTTGGGGATGGTGAAAAAATGGGTTTTGGAATCAAGATAAAGCTTTTGCTGGGCTATTCTTTGGACCTTGTAAACGAGATGCCCACGTGGTTCTGTTGTTTTTGTTGAAAACCATTGTGGGCTTAAGGGGTTATAATATGGAATTAGCTACATAGTGCACAAGTTTGGCGTACTGCAAGAGTGGTACGTGTCTTTGTAATTTTCTTCAGGACAATGAGATTGCCTGTTTAAATTGGATCAATGGTTGCAGATTTATACTTGTCTTTAATTTTCTTAGTTCTTTCTTTCATCCCATTTTCTATCCCATTCGAATAAACAATTTGATGGTGACAAAATTATCAAAGATTGGCATTCCTTATTTGTATTGAACACCATACGAATAGTTATATGATTTTAGTTAAGTGATTGTTGAATTTTCGCCTGAAACAGGTAGAAAAAAGATTTGAAAGCATAGGTCATGGAATTGATGTTTATTCGAAAGGGTCAGATTTGCTTAATAAATTTTATTACGACAAGTGCAGTCTAAAATGAATTTAAGAGCATTCTGTATAACATGCATGTACGAACTTCAAATAATTCATTATAACCTTAATTAAATTCGGAAACAGACTCAAAAAGGAGTTACGAGTCACTACCAGAAGAGGAAGAGCTTGTCTCCAACATGGTGCAATAGAATGCAAGCGAAAATGTAGTGAGATGTGATAATTCATTTTAGTCTTGGAATAAAAATGCTTGTTCCCAAAATCACACTTCAGCAGTGGACTTTCTTTCCATATATATGTATATATATATATATAAAAATCTACAAGTGCTGATTATTAATTATTATCAAAGATATACAAAGGTTGAAAAAGTACTGCTCTCTGTTGTGTGTAACATTATTCTTGGCTTATAGAGCATAGATCTTCTCAATGTCAGAATTATATTCATCCAAATCTGATATATTTGCTGAATAAGACCATGAGAAAGATTTGCTTCCACTTGCTCTCTTGATGCGTCGTTGGGAATCACCGAGAGAAATCCCAAAATGTTGTCGAAAAACAAAGTAGCACATGCTTGCCAGAGTCCCAACTAGAATTGGTACTCCCAAAATGGTGATGGTAATAGCCATCCATTTTTTCTGTCCAACAACCTCAAAAGCTATTGCTAGAAAAGCACCACAAGTGCATGCACATGCAGCCCACATCAGCTTGTTAACCACTGATACAATCTGCTTTTGAGCCCTCGTGTCCCATGCTACCAATGTTATTTGAACTACAACAACTGCAAGTGATATGAAAAGTGATGTTGAATTCAAAAGGCAGAAAACCTTGAAACCAACACTATTTGCTATATTAGCCTTCCCTGCATCTGATCCTGTCTTTATATATTGACCAGGCAAATTGAATATAGTCAAGAATGCTATTGATGCAAAAAGGACGGCAACCACTGTGATTGAATTAATGGTGTTTTGAACTGCATCTCTATGAAGTTTCTTCAATTCCTTAGCAATACCAGAAACTCTTCGCTGAGTTTTTTCATTTTGTATAAGTTGTGACTGCACCTCATGCTTTATATCACTCACTGTTCTTTTAAGTTCCATGGCTTCATCTACTTTACCAACATGCCTAGCATACTTAGCACCATATTCTGCAAGGGCTTCTTTAATTTCCAAAGCTGAATCTCCATATGGCAGTGTATCTGCCAAATCCAAGGCTGTTTCCCTTTGCTTATTGATTGCATTAACATCCACAGCCGTATAGCTTAGCAAAAGGCTCACTATCTGAAAAAAATAAAAATGAAGGGCAAAATAAAACTCATTGCAAAGAAAGGTATGCAATAATTATGAAAGGGAACAAGTACATTCATTTTGTTCAATATATGTAAATAAATAAACCTCAATTCATATAGCATAAGGAAGTTCATGCATCTTTTATATTCTCATAACAACTTTATAATAGTTGAATTGTCTCACAAACTTGTTTATGTTCAAGAAGACTAAGATCCTTAGACAAGTTTATAACAAAACTGAAGCAAATATGGTAAAAAAATCAACAACTATGGTTCAATAAATGTGAACTTAACCTGTGAACGGCCTTTCCTTGTAGCCATGTGAAGAGCTGTATTACCCTTCTTATCTCGTTCATTCAATATAGTAGCATCAGCTAGTAATATCTCTTCCACCACTGAAGTACTCTGACCTTTGACAGCCATATGCAGTGCAGTTTGACCTTTTTTATCTTTGATGCAGACTATTCCTGAATCCCGGGTAATAAGTGCTTTTACAATACGAAGGATGCCATACCTAGCAGCATTATGCAATGAAGTTTTGCCATTTTTCCTAACTATGAACATGGAACTGACATCAACATCTAAGATAGCATTCACCACATCCAAATGGTCTTGAACTGCAGCAGAATATAAGGGGCTGGTGTTTGAGGAGTCACATAAGTTGCAAACCTCAGGCCACGTACTCAAAATCTCCCTCACAATATCTGGAAAAAGATTGACAATATTGATATATCATAATTGAAATCCTTATTTATACATGTAACATAAAAGTACAAAAAGAATTATATAAACTTCCATTTTAAAAAAAATAAAAAATAAAAACTTTATGTGATTCAAAGATAAGGGTATGCCTCAAAATCCAAATAAGCCAGATCATCCATTAATAGCAATAATATACAGAACCTACATAAAAGTTCTATTAACCAAAATGAAAGGAAGAAGAGAAGAATACCCAGATGGCCACGCTTGGATGCAACATGAAACGCGTTCATATCAGACTTGGAGCGAATCTTGAGGACCTCAAAGTCACACAAGTTGAGCAAAAAGCTGAACACATGTTGCAGATTATGCTCTGCAGCTATGTAAAGCGCTGTCTCTCCAGCATCGTTCTGAAGGGACATGATATCAGAAAGCGAAGATGACCCATTATCATCATCATCCTTGTTCACCTGTTCCAGCAGTTGCTTCAGCCCATCAAGGTCCCCAGATCCAACGGTGGAGAATATTGATTGGTGGGTTATGAAACGCAGAGCCTTTGACTCCATCAACCTCAACTCAACTCAACAGAGAAAGAGAGGATTTTTTTCACTGTTTCAGCTTCCCTTTCATCACCCTGTGTTCTCTCTGTACCAATGAAGAGATAAGGGATAAAGTGAATGTGAACACCAAGTGGTAGTTTTCCATTGCACTCAATTATTTGGAGTCTTATTTATTTGTCATAAATGAACTGTTGATATTGATGGTGTGGTCTTTTTGTACAGAAAATCCATAATGGGTTGATACCATTGACTTTCACAACTCAACAATTATTATAAGACTTGTGCAAGCTTCCAAATATGTGTTGATGTCACTCACTAACACACTTCCTTGGCTTGTTACGAAAACGAATTAACATGGAGTTTGTTTCCATTTGCAAAGTTTTAATCTGTGGCTGAGAATTTGTCACCTTGTAATTTTTATCAAATTGTAATTTTATGCTTTTAAAAGAGAAAACAATCTCATACTAAATGATATACGATTTCACTTATACGTATTTTTATTTTTCTCATGCAAATTTTGGGTGAGGTAACTTCTTAATTTAAATTTATTGCAAATCATTGTTATAAGTAGATTTTTCAGAACTGAAAAGAATAATAGCAGTTAAAATAGTTGTTTTCCATTATTTTTAATTATTTATCAGGTTCAATTGTAAAAGAAAATACTTTTTATGGTAGGGAAAAGAAAATACTTACCTATAATCGAACATCCATAAATGAATCAAATAAATTATAGTAAAGTGCACTAAATTTAAATAAATATTCAATTTAGTTGGATTAAATAAGAATAATATTGGATTATAAAGTTCATAAATTAATGGTTTAATTAACCAATTTATTAAGTTTGATAATAGTTTGAAATTAATTATTACAAAATCGTGCATAAATTTTTATAATAAATATTAAATAAGAGGCAAGATGAAGAGACAAATGATTTTTCTTTTATATATAATTGCAACTTAATCGTGAATTATGCTGCATTTTGGCATGCGAAAAGCAATGGCAAATTTTTTTCAATTTGCTTGATGGAATTGTGTATAGTGTAAAACTATCAGATTAAATGAATAAAATGACAGGGGTTAAATGCAGAAAATGACTAATATTATACCAATAAAGAAAAAATAATAATTAAAACTATTGTTATTTTATTTTATTTTTTGATTTTGATTGGTTAATAATATAAAATCAAAGTGTACAATATTTTTAAGAAAATTAAGAATTTGAAAATAAAAAAATTTATTTATTATAATATCATAATGCTTTCTTTATTATTTATTTGAAATCTTACAAAAAAGAAAATACGAAGTCAACGTCAATACACTAGTATATAATTATATCTTTTAACCAAAATAATTGAATAATAATTCTTAGCTCTTATAGGACCAGTTTGATTGTACAATTTTATGTGGAAGGAATCACAAAAATGACACAATACTACTTTTCATTATATAATAAAATTAGGTAAATTTCTATCCGGAAAATAATTATATATCGAAAATTATGGTTTCTGAGTATTGGATTCCAACTTTTCCACCTCATTATTGGATCTCTATATTTAACTTGTTTGCTTTGTAAAGTTGAGAAAATCTATTACATTCACGGAGGAAAAAATTTCTTCTAAAAAAATTCCAGTCATTGCCTTTAATTTTATTCTATTTTTGGTCTTCAATTTTGTTACATTGTTCCCCTCTTCAATCAGAACGTTGCCACCTCAGAAGCTGAACGAAGATTTTGTTAAACAGTCATCAATTGTGAATTGTATCCATAACTATTGAAGATTCCTATTGCCGAAGACCTTTTTGCTTGAATGGAAATCTTCATCTCCATATTTACCAATTGTTTTTAGCCAGAAAAGACAATAATCACATCTGTGTATGGTTATCTTTTAAAAAATATGAAATTGCAAAGGGTTTCAACAATACTGTTATTACAACAGAGGAATCAAACCATTAAAAAAAGACTTGAGCATAGCAGCATATCCAGCTTCAAGACTTAAAACTTCAGAAAACGAACAAAAAAAGGGTTCAAAACATTAATTCATATAAATATAAAGCCAATTTTTTCATGCTATTTCATCTAGTGTTATTTTTTGCATCCCTTTGCTCCTAATAGGCAACATAAGAATCCGATAAAGTGTTACCTTCCGGACACGATTGCAAACCTCTTGAAGAGCTTCATTCGCAAGTAATTACGGTAACTTCTAAGTACTTACAATAAACGTTAAAAAGCATTTAATTGATATTAATCAGCCCCGTAAAGAATACTTCTTCCCTGTGAAAGGCTGAAATTTACTTTCTTCTTGTTCTTTGGGTGGCTCTGGTTTTGACTCTTTCGCCTGCAAAGGCAGAAGATGTAGAGCTTAGCTGTCCATATTTTACCATCCAAAGGATAGGGGGAATCGGGAGGGTAACAGTAAGCATTTGATTTGAAATATTAGCAAAAAGCAGTCAAGCAGCAGAATTACCTTTTCTGTCTCTTTAGAGCGGTTTGCATTTGACCCAAACACAAGCTTTCCCTGAGATTGACGAGCATTACTTTGTGAACTAGAAGCTGCAGAAGACTGTGAATTGACATTTGGAACATCAGGTTTCTTGTCCTTAGACCCTGAAGAAGAAACTGGAGGAGGCTCATAATTCAAAGGTTTTCCATCCAAGCGTCTCCCAGCTCCAGAAAATGGGTTGAACTTGGGTTCAGTTTCAGCAGGAGTCTCCTCAACTGTAAGGAGGAAAAAAAAAAAAGAGTTGTCACTCTTCATAACAAAAAAAGCACTAATAACATGGCCTTGAGGAGTATCACTGCAATGTAAACACGACCTTCAACTTCAATAACATATTTTTACAGCAAAATTTTCAAATCTCAGTATATGTTCAACAACCAAATGATACTTTTGATAATTACATTTTCCGCATTCCAAAGTTCCAAAAGTCACATATTTCTTTATCCACAATACCATGGAAAAACTCAAACAGAATCAGCTCCTACTTATAAAAACAAACATAACATTCACATTCAGTGAAGATTGGACGAATCCCAATTAAAAGACAAGCCAACTAAAATAATGAACCAATATTGGTCAACTCTACAGAAATATGAATCAATAGTCATTAACAGTAATCATTTAAGAATATCAAGTTCCAAAAGAAATGCAACCTAGTCATAACCAACTTGCAGACAAAAGGTCAGCAGCCATTCTCTATTAGGAGTTTCTGATACCTTATCTATAATTTATTTATAAATTCAACTGCATAAAAAAGCTTTCAATACCATATATAGCAACAAGACCAAAAAGAAAGCCGAGGAAATCCGTCCCACAAAACAGTGAGAAAAGAGACAAAAATGACAAACATTAGCCAGTCAATTACGTACCAGCCTGTGGTGCCTTGCCAGTAGAAAGTGGTGCAATGGGCTTTTCAGGTTCCTTGTAATCTAAGGGAGGTGCAAAGTCTACCTCACAGTCAGTCTCAATAATGCTTATAGCATTGGCAGGCTTAGTTTCTATAATATCGATGTAATATTTCTTGTTGTTGTAAGCCACCATAATGCTATCTCCAGTAGTCAAGCAGGAAAAATTCCTCAATGTTGTTTCTAATCTGCATGAAAAAATACAGTCAAATATCTACATGAAGATCTTACCCCAGTCAGTGTGTGAAAGTAAATACATAACTAATTGGGATGTGAAGAAACGAGAAATGACTACGTCCCTGGACCACTTGTGGACAAGAATTCATATACTGAGATCTAGCTCTAAACCATATTAAATATAGTTCTATTCTATGAAATAATTAATTCTTAAACACATTTAAGATTACATACCACATATTAAGGAGCATGAATACAAAAAAATTTCCAACACACAGAAAATTCTATAACACACTGCAGTTGCATAATAATGTATATTACAGGGCATAGCAGTGAAGACAAGGTCAAATGTTCCCTCAAGTTCACTTTGCTCTGGCTATCAACTAGCTACCAAGTTGATTTAATTTGGTTGCAGACGTCTTGACTATAAACAAATCTAATATCGTATCAAAGTTTAAGCCAGGATTCTGGGTGCAACTGGTGAACAGCCATGATCACAATAAAAAAATTGACATAACATCAAGCAGCATGAATTTCTTGAAAAGATGATATGAAAGGATACATCACAAATCACATACATATTAATTTGGAAGGAGAAACACATTTTAGCCACAGAATTTCATCCTTGCGAGAGATACTCATCAGTTGGGAAATATCATATCTTTATCAAACTTATATCCAAAACATTCTAAACATCAACTCACATAGCTTTTGGATTGGAAATATCCAAGAAGTCTTTTGTGTGGGGCTGTAACTTAACATATGTCCCCTTTGGAAGTGTCACATTTTTCACTCTAACAATGTCACCCTCTTGTAAAAGCATGTTCTCCATCATCTGTATAAGTACTCATGAAGATGCGGCGTCAATTAAAAGAACTCAAAACTCAAAGAAGAACCATGCTAGTGAAACAAGCTTATAAGCATATTCACAAACAATTACTTTTGAATGCCTACCCAGTATGGCATGTATATCATGCCTTCCTCTGCAATGAACTCTAGAACCCCACAGTGAGAAACCCGCTCAACAGCATCATTCCGGAGTTCAAATAACATTGGATAATCAATATGCAGAGATGCTGCAAATTAAACCTGATATTAGTATTGAAAACTCAAAAATTAGATATTTATTACCTGGAAAAAAATAAGCAAAATATATAACAGTTCAACAGCGACATAACTAACCTAGACGGTCAAGAGCAGACGGAGGCATTATAACTGAAGCATGACAAGAAATTAATTTTGACATTAGACAGGAACAAATAGAACATGATATTCCAAAAACCAGATATAGCATGGAAATGGAAACTTACTTTTGTCACCACTTTCAATTTGGGGCTGCAGGATTAAGAGGGGGAAAAATGAATAAAAATGAAATATTTGGTTTAACATTCTATGTTTCTGCACAAGAATAAAAATGAATGCACGAAGGGAATGCTAACCTTTTCAATAAAGGAAGCAGGGTAACATCGATATGTCTGCTCAAATGATGTCCCATGATATCCATATCCATCAAAAAACTGTGACAAGTGTGCAGGCAGAACATAAAATTGGAATAAGCAACAAATATCAAATATCATCATCATCAACAACATCGCATACAACTAGAATAGCTAAAAAGAATAAAAGAAACTAATTAAAGTAGCATGTTAGAAGGGGTAAAAGTACAATAAACGGTGATGAGACAAGGAAAAAAAATAGATTATAGGAAAGACAAAGCAGCTGAAATAAATTATCAGTTGGAACTAAAACAAAAAGATAATTAACTTAAAAGGGAAGCATACCATTTTCTATTGACTGATTGTTGCACCAGAGAATCAACCCTCCAAGCTCCCTGTAAGAGTAAAAAATCATATGCCTCAAATAACAAAGGTAGCCAAAAGATATTGATGAGACAACGGCATAAAATTAATAGTGCAGAGCAGAGAACAACAACAACAACAATAATAATGTGCATCTGAGTAGCTTTTTGCAAAGAGACAAAGATATAATACGAAACAACATTCCTAATTAATAAAAAAAAGGAATTCCTGAACTTAGCAAATATTATCCGCGAAACTTTTGAACCTCGATCAGTTGAATCAAAATTAGAAGAAAAAAGAAAAAAGCAATTGAGGAAACCCTAAGACCCAACAAGGAGATGCACTTTTGAGGTAGAAACACTATCATCGTTCAATTATTTGGAAAGAGAAGATTGGATAAAAAGGGAAAACAACTGGTAGTTGAACCAAATACAAGTGAACTTGGAAAAAAAACATGAGTCAAAAGAAGGATTTGGTAGGATCCAGAATAGAACGTTGATAGTTTACGAGATTGAATTGGAATTAGGGAGAAGGAAAATGAACGCAAAGAGGAAATACCTGATGCTTGATCTGAGAAGCCAACGAGGAGCGCGAGTTGAAACTGGAGCACAAGGTACTACAACTAGGTAAATATCTGTAGAATGAAATGAAATGGAATGGAATAGATTGCACAAGGGGAAACCCAACCGAAAAGACCTCTGCTTCGGCGCGTATCGCGCACGCTTTGTTATGCTCTGCTAAATGCCAATGATTTGGGCTCGGCATGGATTCGGCCCTCAGCTGGCCCAAACAAATTAACAATCCTTTATCCCATTATGCTGGTTAGATACATGGTTAAAATTTAAGAACAAAAAAATATATGGTGAAAGAGACATGAAATTGATGGTTTATGTTGTAATTCTATAATTGTGAATCGAACATAAGCACAAATATATTTACAATTGTTGGGCTTTATGGTAGAACTCAAAGCTAACATCTATATACGAGCCCAATCAACCATGATTACATACCCAGTTGAAGTCTGGTGCTTGATTACAGATCTCTCTAATTTTAATTTTTGACAAATCATCTCTATTTAGTTTGATTTTTTTATTTTTTTTACTTGCTTACTCTGGAAGTACAAGCACCAAAAGATGCTTGGGGAAAAAAGTTGTTTTGTAAAAGATTAAACATCGAGCCCAACATCATACTTGATTTTAAAATCCCCAAGTCTTGTAAATTCAACTTAAACTCATCGACTTTCTTTGAGAAAAAATAAATCTTCATGTATACGATCGCAAACATTTATTTTTTAGAGTTGTTTAACTATACTATATTGATAGGCTTACCATCAGGCCTAGCTCCGTAGGTCTGCCATCAACGCCTCTGAAAATGGAATGAAGCAATCGTCCTTTGTGCTTCACCTAACCCGTCTAAAAATTTCTCCTAAATAAAAGAAAAAAAGTTTCTGCTATTCTCAAGAATTAATACAGGCTCGTAATCATTGAAGACTAGATGTCTTTAATGAAGTAAAAGGACAATCAGGCGCATTTATAAGATCAATTAAAGATACAAGTTGCTAGTAAGCTGTAAGTGCATCTACTCGTTGAACTTCTAAATTATTTCCACATAGGTTCAAGATTTCAAGAAGATAAACGTCATCAACCTCGTATACTTCCAACGATACAACAATTGACAAAAGAAAAAACTCATGTAACGACCGCGAATCCACACAATTCTTTAAGACCATTCACTGATCATTTTATTTATCAGTGCTCAATAAGACGTTACAAGCAACAGTCAAGGATCACATGGGAATTATCAGCGATAAAGGCTTTCCGATCTCAGATTCTCAGCAATTTCAGTTTCCCATCGGTCCCCATTTTCAAGCAGCTTCTCTTTGTCATATAGAAGCTCCTGCAACAGTTAAACATATCACTAGTAATAAATGAATAAGCAAAGAAACAATTACTGGCATGCACTTAACAGATAGTAGTCAATTCAATATGAAGGAAATGAAAACGAACCTCATGAGTCTCTGTAGTAAATTCAAAGTTTGGCCCTTCAACAATGGCATCAACAGGGCATGCCTCTTGACAAAATCCACAATAGATGCACTTGGTCATGTCAATGTCATACCTGAAAGATTTGACAGATAAGAGAGCAAGAATGAGAAACATGGGAAGGAGAAGAGGAGGCAGACAAGGAAGGTAATTCACCGAGTTGTCCTGCGGCTGCCGTCTTCTCGCTCCTCAGCCTCAATTGTGATTGCTTGTGCAGGACATATCTGATAAAAAAATATCCAATTAGACAAACTAATAACGATACAGCTGCTGGCTCTACTGAGAGGAGGGTGAGAAACAGAAAAAGTATGAAGAAGGGGAAATAGAATATGAAAAAGGAATATTAGGACAACGGAAACATATAATGGATTGATCATTTGTTGTAATTATTACTTAGGGTATTCATGAAAAGCTAAGTTATTTGGAGTTAGCTGGTAATTTAGGATTTCAGGTAAATAAGAGTTTTAATTTAAAATTTGCATCACTAATAACGATCCAGCTGCTGGCTCTACTGAGAGGAGGGTGAGAAACAGAAAAAGTATGAAGAAGGGGAAATAGAACATGGAAAAGGAATATTAGGACAACGGAAACATATAATAGATTGATCATTTGTTGTAATTATTACTTAGGGTATTCAGGGAAAAGCTAAGTTATTTGGAGTTAGCTGGTAATTTAGTATTTCAGGTAAATGAGAGTTTTAATTTAAAATTTGCATCACTTGTCAGTCAAGTAGTACTTACTTGCACTAACTAGATTTCACTATTCGGGGACTACTACATGGTTTGGACTTACAACCTAACTCGAGTTAGGGACTAAATGGAAAAGTAACAAATAAAATGTGGTTGTAAGCTCAAGTGTTGAAACAAAGCATCGAGCTACGGCATCAGCTACTTGTGAAATCATTTGAAAGTTATTTAAAGAGCTCAAAAATGAAGAAGTTGTGCAGGCACCACTCATTTATGATAATCAAGAAAAATACTGGGTAAATAGGAAGTCAATAGCAAAGTGTGAAAGTAGTGTCTAGGTTCATTGAACCTCTTCTGTTATATAATCATTACTCCGTAGTATAACAAAAAAACACACGGAATTCATTCAATCTCCCCCCGTTTCCTCTTCATTCAATAACTATTTACGGACTAGTAACTAATACACGGTTTGGGCTCACTAACTATATTTTGAGACTGAATTTACCCATGCATACTCCTTAATCTCCCTTTATAAAAATACCTGTTTTTTTATACCTACTCTCTACTAGATCTGGTTGTCTTACATCAGAGGGATAGTGCCGGAGTAGTGCCACTTATAAAGAAAAGATGTCAAAGTTTCATAATAAATAAAACCACTATTATTGCTGCATAGTTAATTCTACCTATTACAGCCTACAAGGATGAGAGGGTTCAACAGCTCTATTTTGGACAGTTTACTGGGTCCTTAAATAGAGGTTTCACAGGAAGTTCTTAATCAGACGGATTTCTATCTCTTAGTGATTGCAAGCACATTTTCCTACACCTGGTTCAACTAATTACCATAGATTCATAGACCTAGCAAGGCATTATCTACTACACTTTGTGCAATGTGTTGTTTGAAGTCAAAAACAGCTAGAAATTTATTTCTACATTATCCAACAAGCTACATTTCATAACATCTACATACAATTGGTATATAGGAATTAGCCTTAAAAAAGTTGGCAAGCTTAGTAGTAGTCCGGTTCATTAAAACAACTGGAAAATGCTGTTGAGCAGTCAATGCCATTTGGTAGAGTGCAAACTCTCAAGGGTCGTTGTTAAACTAATTGCATAAAGAATGAAAGCCTTACAGCTTCACAGAGTTTGCAAGCAATGCAACGCTCCTCTCCTGTCGGATATCGTCGGAGTGCATGTTCACCACGGAAACGAGGGCTCAAAGGGCCTTTCTCAAATGGATAATTGATCTGCATTAAGAAGTGATGCATTTAACTAGAAGCTGCAACAGTCTTGACCAGCAAACAGATCAAGAAGACACTTACTGTAACTTTTGGTTCAAAGAAATATTTCAGTGTCAACATTAGACCTCGAACCATTTCAGTGAGAAAAAGTGTGTTGATGCTACGTTCAAAAACTGTCATCCAAAAGCATCATCAATGATTTAGTTAAATTATAAAAGAAGAAAAAATCAAACTGAAAATGAAAGGCTCCCAAATAAATACTAGAGCTCCAATCCTTCGAAATCTCCTTTGCAAGTTGCTCCCTTTCTTCATCCTCTGCAGTTTGTACACAACAAAATTATGATATGCATCATGTGGACATACATACGTAACACATGCATGCGAAAAGCAGATGGAGATCCTGTTTTGTGAAGCTAAAGAGATGTCATGTTTGTACATTGTAACCATTTTTGAAAAGTCATTTCCTTGACCCACTTAATTAGATGCATTTTGGAGGGGTGATTAAGGGGACTGGGGTGGGCCCTTTGGGATACCCACAGGGCCAGTCCCACGGTGTGGAAGAAGGGAGAAAAGGAGGTGGAGTGCATTATGGGATTAGAACCCACGCACTCTCCTTGAATGCCCTACGGCTCAACCAATTGAGATGTCTCAAAGGATTTTTTTTATTTATTATTTATTTTGTATTAGTGCATGCAAACCCATCTCATTATCACCTTTTATGTAGCTCATTTATTTTACAGTACATAGAACCAAAAACTGGATCATGATTGTCATTGTACATGCAATAAACAATTTGGTGAGGAAATCAATCAAAATTCACCGAGACATTTCTCGATAATTTTGCTTGCTAACCATTCAATAAGAATACAGAAAAATATGTATGAAAGGATGGTAAGAGAAATGACAGACCTTTTTTGGTAGAGTAGGAGTGTGCACTTAATCGCAGGCTATAATTTTGGGGGTTGTGTAGCCCTTGACCTGCTAAAGCCTAAACAGGCAGAAGAATGAGGGAAAGTATTAAGCTATACATTAGACATCCTACAATAAAAATTATCCGTATATTCAAATAAGCTTTCATATCTTGAGAATTATTAAGAGCGTCACAAATTATAATGATGCATAGTAAAAAGAAAAGAAGTCAGAAATCATACTACATAAACAGGCAATATAAACAAAAAGAGAAAATGAATCCAGTTCAAATCTTGGAATCAAAGGAAAAAAAGAGGGAAGGGAGGGGAAGAAATATAGTGTATTCAGATAAATTTTGGTGTTCTCAACTCCATCAGCAACATCTAATTAAGAGTTTTTTCTTCTTTATTTCATTTCCAACACTTTTCCACAAATAACCGAGAATCTAAAATCAGATTAATCTTACCAGCTGGCGTGTACGAAGAGCAAGAAGTGATTTCCGAGCTAAGAGTGCAGCCATTTCTGCAAAGACAGAAGCTACTCTTTTGGAACCTGGAAATGAAAAACATTAGAGAATCACGCAGTATACTATTTATTTCAAATTAAACAATTAAGTTTCGTTCAGTTTTAAGTTAATCAACATTCACAAGGATTCGAACTTATCACCGGAACCCTAAGAGATCAGATTTTAGATGAACAATATTTGTTTTCAAATCGAAATCGTTCTTCGAAATGCCGATATTTGAGATTTCTACAAATCGCATCGTGAAAGGAAAAAAGATAGGAAAATCAGAAGAAGGAAAGAAGAGTGTTGTACCAGCAGCTGTGGGACGCCAAACCGAAGCTACTGTTCTGTTTTGTTCTGGAACCTGATAAATGGGAATAGAAATTCGAGAATCACAGAAGATGCCAAACACACTCAATAAAGAAAAGGTTTGTGAATTTTGAGAACAGGCCTACAGTTGTAAATGTGGGCCTGGCTCACTGGTCTGGCCCAGTATTTTTTGGGTCAAGCCCAATTTTCGCATGACGTCCTTTTGCTAGGTTAGTCCAAACTCTCTTTTAGGTGAAACAAAGACCACAAACAGAAAAATAGAAATACATGGGTAGATGAACGTTGAGGCGGTAGAACCGCTGAAAATATCTAAAAATTTCTACTTTTTATTTTGTTTAAGGTCAAAATCTTGAAGAAGCTCAAAGAGTAAAGGTATAATAATTTCTTGGTGGTAATAATAGAAGAAATAAGAGGTGGTAAATTTATTAGTGTAAGTAGAGGTGTAAATGGACTGTGTTGGGTTAGATTTTGACTTAAATAAGTCAAGCTTATATAAAATATTTATGTCTAACATGATCTATTAATTTTGTGTATGCCCAAAATTATAAGTCTGGTCTGACCTATATTTAAAAAGTAAAAGCCTTTGACCTAAGCCTGCTAGTTTGTTTAAATTAGATATTCAATAATTAAAAATAATTGAAGTAATGTTATTTTATTATTAAAATAATAGTTTTATATATTTTATTTAAATTAAATAATATAATATAGGTCAGTCTGTAGTCTTAAAAGTCTGGCATGTGAAAAAAAATCTATAATCTACTTCCTAAATAAATTTTTTAAAAAATTTGAGTCTATTTTATTTAATTATATGTATTATGTCAAGACTAACTTTATATAGACTAGGTCGTAGACTAATGTTAGACTACATACTCACTTACGCCTGTAGTGATAAAATATAATTTCTCTTAAAATTGAAATAATTCAAAGTTAAATTTACAAACATCCACCCAAACAAACACACACACAATGTAACACACTCAAAGCACTTCGAAACTAGGAAGATCATACAAAGTATCGACACTTCAAAAATTCTGATGTGTCGTGTCCGACACTCACCGACACTCCGACACTTCTTGCAAAGACTCAAAAAAGATTCAAAAGTTATGTTGCGTTGCAATTTGAATTCCAACTATTATATTCGTTAGATTACGATTACGATTTTATTGAGTTTAATACAAACATTTGAGATGTATTACGTTTCTTTGCAAAATTGATGGGTATTATAATTTTAACTTAATTTTTTTTTGTTAAATTATTGAATACTAAATATAATATACACTACATAAATTAAAAATATTAAATAATATCAAAACATGTCTTAACGTTTCAAAATTTAATATTTTTTAAAATTAACGTGTCAGAGTGTCGTATCATGTCATATCTCGTGTCTCGGGTCAGTATCGGTGCAACATATCATGGTCTTGCTGAAAAATCAAGTAATCACGAAAACTTTGATAAAAGAAGCTTTCACAGATATCTATTTGTATCCTTTCTTCTTCCCACTCGTTTCATGTGTCACCTTTAGAAAAGATTTAAATATTTATGACATGTCTCGCATTCTGCATTAGTCTCATAACCGACTCAAAGACATAATTAGGATTTGGTTAACTACAAATAATAATAAAATAAAATTTTCATATTTGCTGCTATTTAAAAAAAGGGCTAGATTTCTTTAAAAATATTCTTTAAAGAAAAAAAATGGCAAAATTAGAAGGGGGAATAAAATGTGAAAGAAAAAGGAAGAAAATATGGAATAGTGTTAACTAATTTGTAACGTAACGTCCTGATTCCGATGCTGCAATCACGCCTAAATTTCACTTCCGAAAATAGAAAAATCTCATATTTGACAAATATCAGATACGAAATTGAATCCGTGACCACTAAACACTACCATTAACGATTCTCCCAATCTCTTCATTGTTCTTCTTCTTCTTCCCAACCCAAAACAAAACAACTACAATAAGAAAAGCGAAGGCTTTCTTTCTTTCATTTAACAATTTTCCGTTCAATTTCAAAGCAAAGCCATGGGTCTCAAATCCCTCTTCAACCGCAACAAGGATCTCATCCCATCAGCCACGCCCTCCCGATCCACGTCACTCTCCGTGCGTTCACGCGCTCATCTCACGGCGGAGCTCGAACAAGTCTTCAAGAAATTCGACGTCAACGGCGACGGCAAGATCTCCGCGTCGGAGCTAGGATCCATCATGGGAAGCCTCGGCCAACCCGCCAATGAACAAGAGCTCGACAACATGATCCGCGAGGTCGACGGCGACGGCGACGGATGCATCAGCCTCCAAGAATTCATCGAGCTCAACACCAAAGGCGTCGATTCCGATGAGGTTTTGGAGAATCTGAAAGACGCGTTCTCCGTTTTCGACATCGACGGCAACGGCTCCATCACGGCGGAGGAGCTCAACACGGTCATGAGGAGCCTGGGAGAAGAGTGCTCGTTGGCGGAATGCAGGAAAATGATCGGCGGCGTCGATAGCGACGGCGACGGCATGATTGATTTCGAGGAGTTCAAGGTGATGATGATGATGGGTTCTCGCCATGATACAACGGATAGAGTTAAACCTGAAAGTACTTGACACATTCTTTGCCTCTATTCGCCATTATCATATCCCATTTCTTTCTCCGTAGGGAACATGCCAAAGTTTAACCGTAATCGGTTGAACGAGGGCTTTTGTTTATGCTAATGACATATAGATTTTAAGGTTTCGGGATCCAATTTGTATAACGTAAACAGTAAATCCATCGCTCTTTTTCATAATTTTTGGCGTTAATGTTTGTCCCAGATAACTTTTGTTTTTTTGTTTTCCCATCTTAATGTACATAAATTATTCTATTTTCTATTGTTTGATTCACTATTTGTTGTTTTTTTATGGAGAGAATAGTTCGTATAATTGAACAATTTAGAATTTCAATGATACAATCACCTATATCACAGAAAATGGATATTTGAAAATTTGAGAACAATACCAAACTCGTTTGTAGCATGTCATAACTTCCTAGAAATTGGTAAAATTCTTTTAAAAATTGATCATGGTTGAATTCAACTTTGTAAATTTATACAAAAAATTTATGGAATTATAAATTTACATGACCTCGATTTGTTTTTGAACCAGATTAAGTTACTATTTGCATCATCTTCTTTTGAAGCTAGAAGTTACTTATAAACAGAAATTAGGTTAAACAGATTTTGAGAAAAACAATTTTAATGAAAAGATTTTTTTTTATAATAAAGAAAAAAAACTAAAAGTCAAAAACTCCTACGAAGAACTTTTTTTTAAGCTCTTATCAGCTTTTTTGAATTATGTGCATTTTTTTTAAAATGAAAAGCTATATAAATAGAGAGAGATTTCTTGATATATGTGCTTTTAAGTAACTTTTAAGCTAAAAATTTATGTAATCATCAAACAGCTTTTAGCTTCTTTTTTTAACTTTAGCTTATAAGCAGTTTCTAACTTAAAAAAAAGAGATGATCCAAATAGGCTCTAAGATGTATGTTGGATAATATAGAATATATAATCGATGTATTATAATTTTTAGAATTAATTATTTTAATATTTAAAGAAATAACATAATTACGTACTTCATCTATGTATTACTAACGTGTTTAAAAAAAATGTACCAAGTTCAAAATGATGTTGAACAAATTATTTAGGGGGTGTATTGAATTAGGATTTTAAAAGATTATTTTTAGATAAAAAAATTCTTATAGATTTTAAAAGACTATATAGAATTGTAGTGACTTCAATTAAGATTTTATAAGATTGAATTTTAAATTTTTTTAATAGAATTTATAAGATTTGAAAGGACAATATGAATTTATAAAAAATTTAAAAAATCGTATGGATTTTTAACTAGCATTCAAAATTACAAGAGTCAATAAAAAAATGCAATGATATTAATAAAAACCAAAACCTAACATAATTTTCTCAATCAGTAATTTAATGTCCTACTAAGCAGCAGCTCTCCACATACCTATACTAGCCCTCCACGCGTTAGCATCTTCTCGTCCCTGCTCTTAGGTTTAACAATGGGTTGAAAATTATTTTCTTCATTTAGTATTAGAGCTATGCATATATAATTATAAGATTCATAGTTTTTTGTATTTATTAAAATAATTCAAAATTTGCATATAGAACCTAAAGTTCATGATAAAATTTTGCTTGGAATTTTTTGCTATTGATCTTCGAAACTTTGTGATTTTTTTTCTACGTGATGATAGTTTTTTAACCATATATCATATGCATATTTTCATTGAGTATTTTAATAAATTTTCGAATATGAATTTTTGGGTTTTATTACATGAAACTTTAAAAAATTTCTTGAATTATTTTCAATTGATTTTGAAAAATAAGTTTCTAATGATATATTGACACAAAAATTGTTTGAGATTCTTTCCTATAGCGAAGAAAATTCGTTCATGAATGCAGTGTTACGTAACATACGGTTCATATTATGAGAGTTTCAATCTTTCTTTAAATCGATATTATTTTATTGATGTAAAACAAAAATTGGTTTGGGGGATTTTGTTCTCCTCTTATTTTTCCACTATTTTATATTGTTTTTAATACAAAAATTATATCTTTTTGTGTCAAAAAAATTGCGACTCATAGCTTAAAAAATCATTTTTTTATCTTCCAAAAGCTTTAAAAAATATGTTGTTTTGAGATTGTTTATGGGCTTGCAATTTCTTATGTTGCATGAGAAATTCAAGTTTTCATACAGAGAGAGAAAGGGATGGGGTCCACCTTAAAGAAAAAAATAAAAAATAAAAAAGTAATTAGCATAGACATCGAAGTGAGAGTGGTAGGAGATGAGGCTTCTCGTGCAATATAAGAAGTCTTTTCCGCATTGTTTATATATTAGAATCTTGTTAGATTGTTTCCGGGCTGTTTTTGTGATGAAAACCGCTCAAAAATCTATTGTTTTTGAGCTTTGACAAAGCTTTCATGGCGTAACCCAGTTTCAAGCGGGTCGATCCGCCAAAGGAAGAAGAAGACACTGCAATTGATAAATCTCAAGAAATTCTAAGGTTTAGGGTGAGACTGTGATAGAGGCATTTTACTTATACTTCTCATTAAAAAATCTCACGAAGTATGCACTAATAGAAAATCCACTAAAATTGTCATATTTTTAAATATCACAAGATTGTTTTTTCTTTGTTTAAAATATTGATTCGATATCACTGCATTTGGACAAATTTTAAAATCCTAATCGAATACCGCGTGACCTTTTTTTAACTCTTTAAAATCTTAGTTGAATACCAATAGATATTTTTGTCAAAAAAAATTCATTAAAATCCTTTAAAATCTCTATCCAATACAATCTCTTAGTTCCGGTGTGTTTTCTTTCTTTATTTATTAGTTTTATTAATAATTATTTGGTTCTATTGAACCGTATAATGATACCTCAAGGGTATGCGCTCAGAGATATCCTATGGATAGGTATCTTGGTTGGCTTATAGCCAATATCCCTATCACTGCGCACAAGCAATGAGCTTATAGCCGAGATGTGGGTGTGTGCACAGTGTGGGAAGAAGTAGTATATAAGTTCAGAGTGTGTACCTGGGGTTTTTAACCTCTTATTTATAAGAGTTACCTCTTGGGCTTGTGTAGATCTTTCAGTTGTAGTAGGATTTAACTTCTTTTCTGTAGGATAGGGACACTATCCTTAGTAGCCTTATTGTTTTATATTGTTAGGATAATTGAGCAATTATACTTTAAGGGATCCTTGGGTGGGTGGTTAGGATATGGAAATATTCCATAACAGTTGCCCCCCAACCCGGAAGTTCGGAAGCTCGGACTGCTGGGGTGCCTAAGTTTGATTGATAGGTCGACCCTACCGAGGTACTATGATCTTGCCTTGGGTCTGGTGCGACTACTTCTTCTTGGTTTAGCTTTTTATATTGGCTTCTTTTCTCTTGAAGTCTCTGAGTGGTGAGGCAGTATTGGCCTTTTTTTGACTTTGAGCTCAACTTATCTTGCCGGGGCTCTTTAGTTTTGACTATGCTTATAGCCAGTCTTTTATATAGGCGTTCGCCTAAGTTTTAGGATGGCATTTCGTGCCTCCTTAAAAATTAACCTGACTTTGCACTTCCTGGCTTTAAGTGTCGTGGTTCCAGATTTGGCTCGGTTTCGCATACCGAGATCTCTTTTAGCATGGATTTTACCTTTTGCAAATGTGTATTGTACTTTAGGGAGCACAGATTTTCTTACTACGACTTTCCTTTTTTGGATTTGACTTGCAGCCTAAATCTTAATTTTGGGAAGGTCTTTCGTGCCTTCTTGAACGATTAGTCCGGCTTCGAATACCATGACATTTTTTGTTTTTGACGGACTTGGCTTCTTTTGCCATAGTCTTAGATTATTGAAGGACGAGTCTGCCTCCTCGATTTTAAGCCCGGATACGTATATCGTGGCTTTTATTTTGAGTCTCGCTTCATTCGCAATGGTTTTTTATTTTGAGGCCAGTCTTTTAGGCCTTTGTGGCCAAAATCTTAACGACTTGGCTTTGTTGTTGTAGTCTTAAGTTACTAGGGCAGTTTTTTGCCTTCTTCATTTTGAGCCCAGCTTCACATACCGTAGCTTTCTTTAAATTGACTTGGCTTTTGCCTTGTCTACATTTTTGAAGGCAGTATCTTTGCCTTTCTGATTTTAGCCCGACTTAACGTACTGTGGATTTATTGTTGGACTAGACTTTTTGCCATATTTTGTTTGAGCCCGGCTTCGCATACCGTGGCTTTCTACTTTAAGCAACTCCTCATTAGGGACGACTTTTAAATTTGAGGCTGACTTGTTAGGCCATAAACTTTGTCATTTGGCTTTGTTGCCAAAATCTTGAATATGAGCTCGACATCATATGCCGCCTGGATTTTTATTTTATCTTAAATTAGGGTGTGATCATTTTCTAGGATCACGATCTCTCCAAATTCGTCTTCTCGGATTGGGGTGTGATCCTTTTTGCTAGAATCACATTTCTCCAATCCTATCTTTCTTCTTCTTCTTCTTTTTCGGATCGGGATGTCATCCTTTTGCTAGGATCACGTCTCTCCAATTTTGTCTTCATTTTTATCTTAGATTGGGGTGTGATACTTTTCTTAGGATCACATTTCTCCTTTTCTGTCTTTATTTTGATATCGGAGCCTGAAGCTATGGCTTAGGCTGAGTTGAAGTTCAAGGCTGAGACCGAGCTTTAATTTTGAAGCCCTTCACTGGGCTGAGTTGGAGATCAAGGCTGAGATCGAGCTTTTAAGCTCGTAGCCCTTCGTTGGGTTGAGCTCAAGGTCGAGGTTGAACTAAAAAATTTGAAGCCCTTAGTTGGGCTGAGCTCAAGGCTGAGGCCGAGCTAATAAATTTGAAGCCCTTCACTGGGCTGATGTCGAGCTTTTAATTTTGAAGCCCTTACCTGGGCTAAGTTGAAGCTCAAGGCTGATGCCGAGCTTTTAATCTTGAAGCCCTTCGCTGAGCTGAATTGGAGCTCAATACCGAGGCTGAGCTAATAAATTTGAAGCCCTTAGTTGGGCTGAGCTCAAGGCCGAGGCCGAGCTAATAAATTTGAAAACTTGAAGCCCTTCATTGGGCTGAGTTTGAGCTCAAGGCCGAGGCCGAGCTATTAAACTTGAAACCCTTAGTTGGGCTGAGTTGAAGCCTGATACCGAGCTTTTAATGTTGAAGTCCTTCATTGGGGGCTGAGCTAGTAAATTTGAAGCTCAAGGCTAAAGCCGAGGTATTAAACTTGAAGCCCTTAGTTGGGCCGAGTTGAAGCTCAAGGCTGATGCCGAGCTTTTAATGTTGAAGCCCTTCGTTGGGCTGAGCTCAAGGCCGAGGCCGAGCTAATAAGTTTGAAGCCCTTAGTTGGGATGAGTTGAAGCTCAAGGCTGATGCCCGAGATAATAAATTTGAAACCCTTAACTGGGCTGAGTTGAAGCTCAAGGCTGATGCCGAGCTTTTAATTTTGAAGCCCTTAACTGGGCTGAGTTGAAGCTCAAGGCTGATGCCGAGCTTTTAATTTTGAAGCCCTTAACTGGGCTGAGTTGAAACTCAAGGCTGATGCCAAGCTTTTAATCTTGAAGCCCTTCGCTGGGCTGAATTAGAGCTCAATGTCGAGGTTGAGCTAATAAATTTGAAGCCCTCCACTGGGCTGAGCTCAAGGCCGAGTCCGAGCTAATAAATTTGAAGCCCTTAGTTGGGCTAAAACTTTTTCCTTATGATTTAATGACCTCCAGGTCTTCACTTGCTCCATCAAGAATTGCGACGACGATAATCTTTGTCAAATCGTCATTTGCTTGGATCTAGAACTCCATTTTAGAGTCTCTCGGAGGATTAAAAGCCCCTTTTGCTGTAGGGTTTGTCTCCTCATATATATGTGGTTTCAGCAATTTTAGCGCGCGCGAGATAGCCTGCCATTTGGGGCTTCGTACTATGCCACGCGTGTCCACAATGGATGGGAGTCGAAATTTGTCGATTCTCAGAGACGGCGCCAATGTTCGGTTCTATTGAACCGTATAATGATATCTCAAGGGTATGCGCTTAGAGATATCCTATGGATAGGTATCTTGGTTGGCTTATAACCAATATTCCCATCACTGCGCACAAGCAATAGGCTTATAGTCGAGACGTGGGTGTGTGCAAAGTGTGGGCAGAATTAGTATATAAGTTCAGAGTGTGTACCTGGGGTCTTTAACCTCTTATTTATAAGAGTTACCTCTTGGGCTTGTGTAGAACTCCCAATTGTAGTAGGATTTAACTTCCTTTCTGTCAGGATAGAGACTCTATTCTTAGCAGTCTTATTGTTTTATATTGTTAGGATAATTGAACAATTATCCTTTAAGGGATCATTGAGTAAGTGATTAGGATATAAAAATATTCCATAACAATAATAAAAGGGGTTAATGTAAAAGAACTTGAAAATTTATAAAAAAATAAACTCAAGCTCAAATGATCCTGATATGTAACGCATGTGAATTTCACACACTACATGAAAAATAAGTTTATCCGATGAATTCAAGCATAAAGTCATTTAAGCTATAACACAATTTAAAAATTATTTTCTTTACTAGTATATACGTCCGTATATTTATATTGACAATTTAATTTATCTCCACTAATTTTCCATCATAACGGTCATGAATTTTATCTCTATACACCTGCCATGATTTTATACTTTTCGTCTTTCACGAGGACTCCTAACTAGCACAAGTCTAATTACAAAGCGGTGCCAGTGAGACAATTTAGCAAGTATAATTTTGAAAGTATTTTTTTTTTATTTAAATAAAAATGTTTATATTTTAATTTACCATTTTCGTTTATAAGTTATTTGTTTGAGAAAAAATAACAATAAACAATGAGAAAAGTGTTTATCTTTTTAAATGACTCACTCTCATAAAGAGGTGAGACCCACATCTTTAATTTTTTTTGTCAACTCTCTCTTCTTTTATCTATCTTTTTCTCTCTCTTAAAATAACATAACTTTACATCATTTAACATGACACACAATTTTCTCATAAACAAATGAAAGAATGTTTGCCCTTTTTAAATAACGTAATTTATATCATTTCATTCTCACAAAAAGTAAGAGGCACACCTTTTTATTTTTTTTTGTCCACGTTATTTTTTTTCTATATCTCTTTCTCTCTCACTCATAACTAACACAACTTTAACACAAATTTTTCCCATAAACAAACCAACAAAAAAAAATTGAAAAGGGTTGAATACGATATCGTTTTGGCTGATATTGTCTTCAAGAGCAGCGAAGAGAGGGGATTGGGTTATGGCTACTTCGAAGGCAGTAATGTCTTCTTTGACCCACTTGCGTCCGCTAACATGCGCCGCTTCGGCATCAGCATCACGACTAGTGCCGCAGCCACCTGACCTGATAAAGTGGGTAACGAGAGAAGGTGGGTTCGTGCACCGTGCTGTGAAGATAGCACAACATGACTCCAATGGTTTTGGTCTGGGACTAGTCGCTAAGGAAGAAATCCCAAGGGGCAGTGACCTTATTGTTCTCCCTCACCACCTTCCCTTGCACTTTACCTCTCAAGACTCTCTCTTACTTGAATTGGCGCGCCAAATTCCTGGTATTTATTTTTTTATTTTTTCTTAATTAAAGATATGATATGCATTTTTCACCGAGTCATACAAGAGAAGTTAAGGATGTGCTTGAAGCATCTAATTAAAGCATAGAGAGCAAGTCAGAATTGCGTTTGATGTTAGAACTTAGAAGTGTATCATCAATCTTCTAAGTTTTCAATATCACCAATAATATTTGGCTATAATGTAATGGTAAAACCTATAAGATAGATCATAACAAATATAAGTCCTTGTTTACATATGTCAGTGTTGTGAGTAAACTATTTTATATTAGCACGTAGACATCTCTTTCCTACTCAGTATAATGAGGCTCTACTGAGTTTTCAATGTAAATAAATTGGACACTATGGTAGCATTTGGCAGAGGAACTATGGGCGATGAAACTGGGTCTGAAGCTTCTGCAAGAAAGAGCAAAAGTTGGATCATTTTGGTGGCCATATATCGGCAATCTCCCAGAAACATACAGTGTGCCTATCTTCTTTCCTGGGGAAGACATAAAGAACTTGCAGTACGCTCCTCTTCTTCACCAGGTACTATACTCTAGAATTACATAAAGCCATTTAGGACTGATGAAACAATAGAATTTTTCATTGTCTCAGCTCGCCGCAGACTACTAGTCTAAGAATTGATTTTGTCGATTTTGACAAGAGAAATGAGCATACCATACCTTGTTGATCTCCAATATAAAATGTTGCTCTAGCATCATATAGTATATAACTATATACTGATAAATTTTGAGATGCATTTCTGTTTGTCTCTTATATTTCAAACTTTCTGGTTTTGTAAAGTGGATATATAAAAATCATTTGAACTGCCTAGCCAACATATTTTACTCTGCCAATGCATCTACTTTTGTTTTGCTGTTGGGGACATGAGAGATATGCACTTTGATTTGAGCCCTTTAGCTAATACTTGAAATCTTGAATACATATCTGTAACCAACACCAGAAGCTGAAAATTGCCTGTCTTGTCATCTATCAAATATTTTGAGTACCTTGCTGACCTGCAGTACGACAGTTAATAAAATTCGATTTCATGGGGCAGGTAAACAAAAGATGCCGGTTTCTTCTTGATTTTGATCGAGAAGTCAAGCGTGCCTTAGTCAGTCTTACACCAGATAAGCATCCTTTTGGTGACCAAGAAGTAGATGCATCTTCTATCGGATGGGCGATGTCAGCAGTCTCATCTAGAGCATTCCGGTTATATGGTAACAAGCATCCAAATGGGGTACACACCGACATACCCATGATGCTCCCTCTAATTGATATGTGCAATCATAGTTTCAATCCCAATGCTAGAATTGTTCAGGAACAAGATACTGATAGCATGAAGATGCAAGTGAAGGCATGTTTTCTCGTACCCTTTCCTATATACCCCCTCCCCCCCTTTCCCCAATCATGCTTTTTAAGAGACAAATTAAATCTGGATTTATCTTTCCCGGGGTAATTATTTCTTTGCTTCAGGTTGTGGCTGAGACAGCAATTAAAGAAAATGATCCTTTATTACTCTGCTATGGCTGTTTAAGCAATGATCTTTTCCTTCTTGATTACGGATTTGTGATACACTCAAACCCATATGACTGTATTGAGCTCAAATATGATGGTGCTCTTTTGGATGCTGCAAGCATGGCAGCTGGAGTTTCTTCACCAAGCTTCTCGTCACCTGCTCCATGGCAGGAACTGATCTTATCTCAGTTAAATCTGGCTGGAGAAGCTCCAGATCTCAAGGTTTCTTCCATGAATTTCTCCACTCCTATTTAATTATTACTATTTTTTTCAAAAAAATAAAATAAAAATAAAAACAAAATCAAACTACTACTGCAGTTTACATAAGTGTCCTGCTGTTTTGGATGAGCTTAATGTATATTGCAGCAAAGATTTAAAGTTTACTGTGTTGATGTGTCAATATCACATCCAATTATTTTTTGTCTTCCCTTTTTCCCACAGTTCGTAAATGCCTTTTTAGTAAAATATTGGCCAAAATAAATAACAACTTGCATGATAATTTGATGATCTTATCACAACAACCATAAGGTTTTCCTCATCCCACCCATAGCACAAGTTCATTTATTTGTTTTGTTGTAACAGGTGAGCTTAGGTGGTCAAGAAATAGTAGAGGGCCGCTTGTTGGCTGCATTGAGAGTACTCCTAGCAAGTAATATGGAAACTGTACAGAAGTATGACCTCGACACACTCAAGTCTTTAGATGCTGAGGCTCCTCTTGGTGTTGCAAATGACATAGCTGTATTTCGTACCCTAATTGCTGTGTGTGTCATTGCACTGGAACACTTTCCAACCAAAATAATGGATGATGAATCACTGTTGAAGCAGGGTGCTTCTGGTTCAACCGAGTTAGCCATTCAGTTCAGAATCCAAAAGAAATCTGTGATTATAGATGTAATGAGAAATCTCTCAAGGAGGGTAAAGCTTCTCTCATCAAAGGAAACAGCGACTGCCGAATGCTAAGTGATAGTGAACACTTTGTGATTGAGAGTATCTTGTTCCTTTCCCCACCGCCTACATCTTCCTTTTCCTTCTTCTTTCATTTTTCTTTTAAAAATGGATTTCATTTTCTCCCTTTAATATTCTCTTGCCTCTTTACTATCCTCTTGCTTTATTTAGCATCCTGCATGTGTTTCCGTGGTTTGGCCATCTTTTACTGAACTATTAGAATCTACTATTAACTATAATTATGTTTTCTGTCAAGTTAGTCCTGATATTTTACTCTTACATTGCTCAATTCCATTGCACTCAATCATTTGATATATGAATTGTTAGTTTTCTACTAATTAAGATGAAGCATGAAAAAGTATTAGAAAGTCGTCTTCTCTGTAGTGAGAAATATTATGATGTTAGAATATTCCAACGTTTGAGCATTGAATATTTTGTTTTGAATGTTTAATCTTTTAAGCGAGAAAGGTAGTTTAGGAAATAAAATGTCAGCAACTACCGATGAACAAATAATAATTTAAAATTTTATAAAATACAATTTGATTTGACTAACAGATTATTAACACGTGAAAATTTGCTCTTAGTCATTTTAACCAGCAATTATTATTTATAATCTATTCTCTAAATTGCATCAGCAAATTGGAATGTTTTGTAGTTCAGATTCATACTATGTGTATACTGCAGCTGAACAAATATTAATAAAAAAAGTTACACTTCGTCCTTCTCTCTTTCTCTTAGTCTCACACGAATAAGACGTGGATGGAGCTTGATATTTTAATTTTTATTGACGTGGCATAAGAACGTGTGTTGCTTAACGGTGATGTTCCGTGTTAGATTCAATCTTCGTTCAGAAAAGGAAGCAGGTTGGAAATATCACACGCCAAGAGAGGTCCAACCTCTCCAAATTTAGCCACTACAACCGAATCGCTGCCTTCGGACGAGGCTTAAATCCGCATAGTTAGTTACAAGACCTCGTGACACACAGAAGGAACAAAAAAAAAAAAAAAAAAACTCTTGGACCAAAAAGAAACCATGAATTGCATGTTTATATCCGTTGTGACTTGCATATACTCGATTACGGCTAAAGGGGAAGACCGAAACCATGAATTGAATTAAGTCTTTTGCAAAATCACATGCACATGGAAATTATTTTAATTAATTTAGAGAAACCATGTCCCAAACTTTGCCAACAAAAACATGAACAATTAAGAAAGTCCACAAGCACATAGAAGCTATAGAGTAGGAACACAAAAATTATAAGAAACAACATATAGAAAAGAAAACTCGGAGTATCTTATATATATATATATTCATATATACATACACATGTCTGTATCCATCTAATCTAATCTAATCTAAGAGTTACCAACTAAGATAGCCCTCTCTGACAATCCCAAGGGTGATGGGGAGCGAAGCCTGCTAACACGCCTCATGTGTAGCTGCAGTGATGGGTGCTTGATTTTCTCTATTTCTTGCTTAATTTTGATCACTTGGCTGTGAACTGCAAGACCCATATTGGCCTCTCTATCACTTTTGCTTATCTGCTTCTCGTTGTTGCTGTTGCTGTTGCTGATGGTAGTGCTCTTGTGCTCCATCTTCTCCTGCAACGTCTGAAACAGAAGCTTTCCCCTTTCAGGAAGAAAATTTCACTGAAATTGTTTGGTCTTAGGAAAACCTATTGAAGGATATATATATACCCCGGATGGAAAAATTATATCAGATTTTCAAAGAAATTAAATAAGGAAAATAATCTTTTATTTTATTTTAAATAGGAAGTTTATTCAGGGCTCCTACCTTCTCCATTTGGATGGATTTGAAACAGACATTTGTATCCATACCTACAAAAAAAAATATTATTGCAAAAACTATTTTTTCAGTTACTTTAGATAAGATTATTTATAGTTATTTCAAAAATTGTATCGTTTTGATTAATGTTGGGTGTTTTTATAATTTTAGGTGAATTAATGAAAGATATTTCATTAAAATATATATGATAAAAAAATAAACAAAATTACAGAAACATCATTCATTGATTCACCTAAAATTATCGAAACACCCTCATTAATCAAAACAACGAAATTTTTAGAATAGCTGTAGATAACCTTATTAAAATGGCTATAAAAATATTTACCCAAATATTATCATACTATTATAAGATAACTTCCTAGTTCCTACCAAAACGACCACCTTCCATATATTGATATATTTTAAATATATAAATGACCCATTTTATGTTGCTTTCATTCCTGTTAAGTGTTAAATACCAACACAACCATGATTAACAAACTTCATTCTTTTCACCTATGTAATATTGATTCAACGCCAGATTTCCAGTATGCAATCATAATTAACAAATCTTATTTTATGGTAAATTGGCAATGCTACATATAAGAGTTAAGAAAATAAAAATCCATATTCCATATTTTAAGTTGAGATCTTTTTAGATTTGTTATATATATATATATTCATATATATAAATTAATTGGTATATTCTTTCTTTAGAATGGTATATGCAATATTTTATTATTTATTTTTTTGGTAACAAGGTATATGCAAAATTAATGTGATAAAGAAGGATATAGGTGCAAGGCCTTTTCTTTAATTTTAAAAAGAATTAATGTAGGTATCTTTCAAGCTCTCAATTATTTAATTATGGCAATAAAATTGATCACGATCCTCGATCTATATTACGTTTTTGGTAGCTAAATACAACAAAAAAATCAATCACGTAAGATTGGGATTGAAAGTAGATGAAACACGTGGAGGAAACCCGTCATGTTTAGAATGGAAATGATAGATATCAATCCATTTAATATTGATGACAATGAAAACTCAGCAAATTTCACATATGTTTCCCATCCACGCTTAATAAGCGGTTCCTTTTCAACAGGGAGGAATGGTTTCCACGACATAAAAATGCTTCAAATCAAACTTGTACCACTCTCCATCCATTGCCAGGATACCTAAAAACGACAAGGAGGGAAGCCACCCCACCCAATAGAAACTAAACAGGTCTGATTCATTCAATTGTATTTTATGATATAATCATTCTCAATTTGCTTAAACTTTCCTAGTGTTGTTCGGATTGGCAATTTGTTTTCTATTTCCAATATCAAATTGGGTCAAATCATTAAAGATTTTTTCAAATAGTTTGTCCTATTTTATATTCCTTGGTGCCAGCAACTAGTAATCTTAGGCTGCCAAATCGGTAGTGCCGCTATGACTCCCAAAATTCTTTGTTATTTGTGAGGGCTTAAATTAAATTGTATGGTCTATTGCAACATTCATCAAATTGTTTAGTTAATGATTCATAAACGTGTAATAGGTTCATTTGGGAGACCAGTCAACTTGAAAAAACTTTGTAAAAGAAAAACAAATGGGTAATAGATAAAAGCAGTTGACCTACATAATCAAATCACCTGTTCTATCCAACACTTGCTACTGAACCTTGACCAAAAGCACTGAACCATCATTTAGTTCACTTTGACTATTTTTAGTTTAGTTTTAACATCCCTAACAAGTAACAAATATAAATATTATAGTAGTTTGTGCATAGGACACTTATATTTGTGTTTTAATGGTTATATCTTAATATTTACTTATCAGATAATTATTTTGGGATTGGAAGGAAATAAATTGGAAAAGTATCGTAATAGCATATGAAGGCTCGTAAGGAAATAAGCAAAATTGTCATATACTTGTATCGGTATTAAGTCGACTAATACCGGCTTGTACTGTAAAGAACTTTGGGATACATCACTTCAAAAGCTAGTTCAAAAGATGAGAGTAGTGTTTTAAAACTCGGACCGGTCATCGAACCGGTCAAGGTACTGGGTCACTGGTTCAACCGGTTTTACTGTTCACATATTAAAAATATAAAAATATTACTTATATTAATAAAAATTCACATAAGAAAACTATCTATGAGCTTCAAAAAATAAATTGGTTTTCAATGATAGCAAATATTATATACTTCTAAGTTTCTAGCTCTAGACCGTTGAGATGAGATCATGAGACCATCTGTGTTTATCACCACTTAACTTCATGAGATCATTATAAGATGCAACTAAATTACATAAACGAACTACACTAATCTAAAATACCTTATTATTTTCACCTTACTTTTAATCATATTCATCATAAAATATGAATATGATTTAATTCAAGAGTTCTTATCAACAAAAAAAATTTACCAAAAAAAAGAAGAAGGAAAAATCGGTTTAACCCGAGTCAACCGAGTCGTCGGGTCGCCGGGTTTCAGCCGGGTCAACCGGTCCAATCCGGGCTGACTGCATAACCGGTCTAACTACCCGCTCGGACCGGGGAACCCACCGGGTCACCGAGTCCCGGGTCGACCGGCCGGTCCGAGCCGAGTTTTAAAACTCTGGGTGAGAGTGTCCAAAGTCTTATAAACTCCACATTAGTTGCACATACAACCAATGTGAGACTATATATCTCAACATGCCCCCTCACACGAGACCCATTGGGCTAGAAGCGTGGATATTACACAGGTCCAATTCTTGATTTACCTTTTTGTACTTTTATTTTAATTTCACTTTAAAGTGGGGGACGGTGAGGATCGAACTTGTGACCTTATAGTCAGTCAAGCTCTGATATCATGTAAAGAACCTTGGGATACGTACCATGTATGAGATGACATAAAAATATAATTAATATATTATAAATAACTAATTAATAATTTTAGTGCCTTTTGAATAATTTATATTACTTCATCTTCAAATAGTCATCATTGATATGTTTAAAAAATTGTGAACTTTAAAATTATGTCAAGTAGTCAAGTGGTTATTTATCTTTTTTTATTTACTCCTTTATTTTTGTTAAATTGAATAAAAAAATCAAACTCTATTTGGAATAAAATATATGTTAATTTTTTAAAAAAAATATTATAGCATGTGATTGAAACCTTATACGTATTAATTTGCATATTTCACTTTTAAGTACAACATATACTACCTTATCTAAATACAGCATAATAATTGGACAATTAAATTATAGTAGGAATTTAACAATGATAATAGCAAGAAAATAAAGATGAGAATCAGAGATAGGCGGAGCTAGTATAATCTTGAACACGGGCAACAAAAAATTCAAGAGAAACTGAAAAAATATAGAAATTACACAAGTTTAGCATGGTATGAATATTTATTAAAAGGTGGGGATGTCTATAAAAATATCACTTTGTCTTAATTTAATTGAGATTTAATTACCAATAATTGAAGGTATATTTGATTAAGATTTATTTACATCTTCCTTATACTACAAATATAAATATTTAACGTGTCTGTTATTGATTATATCTTACTATTTACTTATCAGATAATTAAAGGAGATTGTATTTCTTCTGTTACTGGACAAATCAATCTCGTCCTGTACAGATAGAAAACATCCCTGCCAAGTGCCAACATTTTTTTTTGTTTTGTTTTTAAACTATTATGGGATCCACATTTTTTTGTTAGTGCAGGCAAAAATATTTCCCCTTCATGTAATGTAACAAATCTTTTTTCCATAATTAATTGAATTAAGAAAGTAGGATAATTAAGTTAGGATGAGTAGGATAACCATAATAGTATATGAGGAGAATGAGTTTTCTCATGTTAAAATTTGACATAAAGGGTTATGTGAATTTTTTTATGTCTATCTCTTTTATTATTAATAATAATTGAACTTCACTTATTTAATACATGTGAAAAGAAAGATAGACATAATAGGTTCGACTCGACCTCCTTGCAAAGCAAGAGTAAGACTTGACTCGTATTTGTCTTTCCTCAAACACTCATGCAATGGGTTTGAACTGGGTCGGCCATTAAATCATGTGAAATTTTAACATCGACAAGATATACTCTCGTAGATGAGGGCTCGTAATTAAGGAAATAAGAAAAAAGGTATTATATTTGTATTATTATTAATTACTAGTAGGGTTGTGAAATTGATCGACTCGTTGACAATACTTTTGTCCGGTTGGGCTGGCTTGGTATTAACGAAAATTGGCTTAACCAGCTGGGCTAGAAGTTATTCAAAGCCGAATGGGTTGGTCTCATGATTCAAACTAAAAAATTAGTATTACTTTTTTTTTTTTTTAAATCGTCTAAAGAAAATATAGTCGTGTATATTCATTCTTAAATATTGTCAGGCTAAGTCGAACCAACCCAACAGAAACTATTTCTTAGAATACGCTCCAAACTCAACAGGCCTGTGAATAGCCTTCAAAGTTTGGGTTTCGATGATGCAGCGTTTTCTAAACTTTTGACGAGCTGGGCCTAAATTGTCATAATGTAATTAAAAAATGAATATAATAATTTTCTTATTGTAAAAGATAAATTTATCACTATACATATATAAAAGTGTATGGGATATGAGCCCAATTGAGAAGAAAAGAGAAAATATGAGTCATGCATATTTTTATATGTATGTAATAGATAAATTTATCTCCTAAAAAATAAGAAACAATAAACCAAGAAAAAACTTTACTTTTTTTAAATTTATAATCCTTTATGATAATAATATGTATCATTCAATTCCATGAATGTTAAAAGTTCCTGTATTATACAAAATTTTATAACATTTACTATATATGTCAAGTTATCAATTATTCCAAAAACTTAATATATTAGGTGAAATCAAATGTATTATTTTATATTATTTGTATAAATTTTCCGAGTTAAAAAATCATGAAATTTATATATTTAAAGGAGAAAAATAAATATTCACTCTTCCAAGGCTTAAAATTGTATTCTTATGCTTCATCGCTATCTTATTTTCTTTATCTATTCTATAGTTTAAATCCCAACAAACATAACATAAACTAGATTTGTGATCAAATAATCACTTAATTGCATTAAATAGGATAAGCATAAAACTCTTTACATGCTCTCTAATAAAAGAATTGACATTGAATCATCATATTGCCACAAGTTGAGTCGAATCAAACTATATTTGAACATGAATTTTGTTAACCTAATCTACATATCTTGTTGATTTATTCAGGTCAACCTATCAAATTGAGTCCATTTTAACACTCATCCTCGCACTTATGTAGTTATATAAATTTAATAAAAACAAACAATTAATTTTTATATGTATTTTTTTACAGAATAAAGTTTAACTTTTAAAATAATTTTAAATTTCTTTGATCAAATTTGACTTTTGAGTCAACCTAGAATGCTAGTGCCGACCACATTATAAGTTGACCTGTATGAATAAATGAAGGAATAAACGCGTGTTTTGAAATTTACCTGAGATTGAGTACAAGACGAAGTGTTTTCCAAACAAGTTGGCTGTCGTTAAGATACCATTGAGAAAAACTTCTTACATATGTATCCAAAAAAAAAAAAACTTCTTACATATTATTATATCAATGAAGAATTCTTAAATTTGAATAGAAATCATGCCAATTAATATCATGAGTGAAAGATAGATATTTGATAATTTTATTGGTCGGAAATTTAAATTTTTTACATTAGAAGTTAGATTTCAGCCGACCTTTTTCATTCTTTATTATTTATTTAATATTTTTATTTTTGTAAGCTTAGAAGTTGGATCATTTGCACTAAGAATGCATGAAAGAAAAAGAAATAGTGTCTACATTTAAATTTGTTGCATTTAATTTTTCAAATGCTTAATTTAGCTTCAACTAGCATAATTCTCTTATTGTCAAATCCAAACAAGAAAAAGCAACAACTTGATTTATACTTTTGTTATAAAAAGAATTATTTTTGCATTAAATACATGCTTATTTAATTTTTATCAATTAAATTCTTGCCTGTTTAAATTACCTCTGATTAATATTTTCATATGCATTTTGTACATTTAAATAATTTTTTAAAACCGTAAATATTTATATCAGAACTTAAATATTTAAGAATTCAAGCGGTAAAATCAGATTTTAACTAATCAAATTAGAAAATGATATATATTCAAAAGTTAAAACAACACCGCCTACAAAAAGTTTTAAGAATATCTAGATGTTAAATGAATATTAAAAAATTTACAGATAGCCCATTTTAAATATTGAGTTAACAGTGAAAGGTTTGAGTAGTTTAAATAAGATTACAGTGTCAAAACTCAGACATATACAAAAAAATACTAGGCAGTATTTGTTTCAGGAGTTCCGTGAATATTTCCAGTCAAGTGATTTTGAGTTTGTTAATTGTCTACGTTCGGTTCACGGATTCTCAATTTTTACCTATGAATGTCAGTTACCTCTGCTATCCACAATTACATGTTAAAAAAGAAGAAAAACACTGTTCTTGAATGCTACTTTGAACATGGTATTTCTATAAAAATAGAATAAGTTAATGTAGTGATACAATACGTTGACAATATTATTCCTCACAGGTGAGTAAAGTGGGATAGGATATTGTGACACACAAATAATGTTACGCACAGTGTTACGACCACATCTTAATTGTTGATTTCCCCCAATCAACGGTTATCATTTATTGCGAATTAATAATTAATTAATGAGTTTGATTTGAAAAATGATAACCGTTGATTGGCGGAAATCAACGGTTAAGAAGTGGTCATAATATTGTGCGTAACATTATTTGTGTGTCACAATATCCTATTCCGAGTAAAGTTTGCACAATAAGTTTTGTAAAGGGTAAAGGGTTATTTTTAAAAGGATAATTTTGTAATTTCAATAAGTTTTCTCATCAATATTTTATATTCAATCAAACACACATTCAAGAATTTCACTCAATTTTGTTGGTGAATTTTGCCCAATCAAACAACTTTTTTAAAACTTTCCTATCTAACTCATTTTCTCTGCAGATCCCTAGTAATTACATTTGCCTGGTAAAAAAAAATTACCTCAACCAAACACGCCTGTTGTTTTATGTACTTGCCTTCGATTTTCCTTACTACTTTTCGACCCAAAACCGCAGTGAGTAATCTTCCTGGGTGCAATTATGAAAGTGAAGGCAGAGTGCGTGCACGTGCATATTGGAGAGGGAGCGTGTTGTCCAGAGTCAACTTGAGCCTCATGATTCTATAAGGCCGTGTATACTGATGTGTAGACTCCGTAGCCCAAAGGAGAAAATAAACTTCACACTACTAAGTAATGTTCATTTTGGCTAGCTGATCTAATCATACACTCAACAATGCAGTGTCAAGTATTTAATGTTGACTTAACAACACAATGCCAATGCAAAAAAAATAAAATAGTTTGTTGGCGAAACGACACAGAAGCCTCAATCTTAACCTGTTTTCATTATTATATTCTATATATTCCATATCATGACATTTTTTTAATTATTATAATATTCTATATTCCATATCCTGACCTCTTTTCATTATTATATTCTATACGCGTTTGATATGTTAAAGATGTGTACAACCAACAACCAAAATTCTCAAGGTTTTCCATATATAGCTTAGTCTTGGCCACTCTTTCTCTCCACCCTTTATTCTTTTACATCTCCAACTAATCATAGATCATAATCACCGAGAGCTATCCTATTTTCTTCTTCTTTTTAAACTATCTTCTCTCTATTCCTGTTTTCTTTGTTGGTTGTTTGTGTTTCCTTCAATTTTTGTCTTTGCTGTGAGTGAAAATTTAGAGTCTTTGAGAGATGGTTTGCTTGGTATCTCGTTCAGGAAGGGAATTGCAGAGATACAACAACATGGGTGGACGCCAAGTTGTTGGGTGAGTTCATTTTCAGGTCTTATTTTGTGTCTGAGAAATGTTCCCTTAATATATATAGCTCTGCAGGATATTTGTTTAGGCATACATTCATTGAAATTTAAAGGGTCCTTCTTAGTCATCTATAATAGATGAAGATTGATGACTCTATCATTATATTGTTTGTTGGTTTCACTAATTGACTCGGTTATTATAATGTTCTGTTTGCGCAGATGCATACCTTATAGATATAAAGAAGAGATAGATGGCAATATGAACAATGAATTGGAAGTATTAGTGGTTAGTTCACAGAAAGGTCAAGGATTGATGTTCCCTAAGGTACTTTAATTGCTCGTTGAATTAATAGTAGTTCAATATGAATTTTCTTTTTGGTATCCATTGGTTAGCTCAAACATCATATATAATAGTTAACATCCTATTTTTCTGATTAAAGGGAGGATGGGAACTTGATGAATCTGTTGAAGAAGCAGCTTGCAGGGAATCCCTTGAAGAAGCAGGAGTCTTAGGAATCGTTGAGGTATTGGATACTTTTCAATTCTGAAATACTTTAGGCACTTCCCTCTCTAATATTTTCTTCCATTATTATTTGTTTTTTTGCTGCCAAAAGATTTATATTTTATGCAATACTAAAAGGGACTTGGTTTCAAATGATGCTGATATACAATTTTGCTATTCATATTGCAGTGTAAATTGGGGCAATGGAGTTTCATTAGCAAAAGACATGGTATATACTATGAAGGGCACATGTTCCCCTTGTTTGTCAAAGAACAACTTGATCTGTGGCCTGAGAAAAATCTGCGTAGAAGAATATGGGTATGCTCAGGCTCTATAGTTACTTTGCATGTTAATATATTTAAAAATTTGTATACATGCAATTTTGCTTAATTTTCTTTGTAATCACGTTTGCAGATGACTGTTGCTCAAGCCAGAGAAGCTTGTCAGCATTGGTGGATGAAGGAAGCATTAGATATATTGGTTCAACGACTCGTGTCTTCGAAGCAACAAAGAAAATGATATAGCATATATATATAGCTGATTCTTTAAATTTTTAACGAATAAGTTTGCAAGTTGATCAATCTATATAGATAAGAAATTAATAATATTTTGTATCTCTATAGGTTGAAGATTATAGAGAGGATTAATTAGGGAGAGAAACAGAATTGTAGAGAAATATAGAGTTGCTATTTTTATGCAACTTCAATCATACGTACATATGAAAATAATTTCATGATTAAATGATTTAGTTAATTTTGAGCTATTCTATTTTTTGGAAATATTCCATCGGTTCATCACTTCGCGATTAGTCCGATTCGGGGTGGGTCCAGGATTAAGGCTTTAAACCCTTCCCAAAGGTGGTACTGGGGAGGTTCGAACACATGCTCTTACCCCCACCTACTCAGCTCCCATGCACCAACTAAGCTACCACCATTTGGTATTTTGAGCTATTCTCTCTATGCATGTTTATGCATGGTTTATCAAATAGACTCCTAATTCTGCTAACGCTAAATGGAAAATGGGCTTTATGCGCCAAGCAACTAATCCATTGAACAATGACACAAAACTCTCATTCAACCACCTCTAATTTGTTGTTTTGTGAATATTACATAATTTGGCTTTTTATATTGAACACGTTTTATAGATTTCAGAGCATGAATAGCGTAAAGATATATAAAAATTTATATTTAATTGTAATAGCTTTGATACCATATTTATTTCAAAAGGTTAAACAGTCACAGTTAATTTTATATTTCCGTAGACAGCACATGGAGATGTCATACAAATTATTGAATTTCACTAAAAAGTATCTTATGACTTATGAGCATCTAAAATATATATAAAATAGTTAAACTTGCCTTTCAGTTTTTTTTTTTTTTTTTTAATATAACTTTCTCAATGTAGTAAATATATTAATCAGTAAAATATAGCATGAAAACTCGTACATCACACGAACATGCGACTTATATTTTACTTTACCCTGCATTTGAGATTAATTAGTATCAATTGTGAAAAAAAGGTTATTGAGAGATAAATGACGTCTAAAATATATATTTATTAAAAACAAACATGTTAAATGAATATAATTTATGAAATGAATATATTTAAAAAATGTCAGTTGATTTAGTATTTTAAGATTTAGATCTACTATTCTACTTGATAAACTTTATCAAAATAACTTTTTAAGATTAATCTGTCACGTGAGATAATATATTATCTCCCTGGAAACAATGTGGTTTTACTTCGTACGTAAAAAAAAAACTTAGAAAATGAGGAACCTATGCTCTTTCCTCTCTCTTTCTGCAAATCAATATAAAATTTGTAACTTTGATGGAGTTGTTGGAATTTATATATATATATATATATATATATATATATATATATATATATATATATATAAATTGTGTAGACAATATATTGGTTATGAATAAGAAGTTTGGTAGTGAAAGGGTGTGTCTTTTCGTTGACAAACAGATGTATCTTTTCATCCGAAAGGATGTGTTGTTTCATCTGAATGGACGTGTTGTTTCATCCTTGAAGGGGTGTCTTTTCGTGTTGAACGAATGTGTCTTTTCGTGTCCAACGGATGTGTTGTTTCGTCGTCGAATAGGTACCTTTTGAAACGTGACTTTACGTTGTCTATAAATAGACACTTACACCTTCAGAAAATGGATCCAATTTTTCTGCACTGAAACTCTGCCGGAATTTTTCTCCTTCCGGTTTTGCATGTTCCTTTTCATACTCCGGTGTAGTTTCCTCTGGCATTCAGTTGTGTTCGTTTGGGCTGTTGATTGGTAGTGCCATCATTCTTCAGACGAAATCCGTTCTATCCTGGGAGACAAGTGTCCATCAACCTTTGGCATCAGTGAGGGGGCAAATTGTCTTAAGGAGACATGTTCTGTGGGCTCGGATTTTATTCCTCTGATACTGCATTTTTCATTCTTCTGACTCTGTCTGTTTCACACATATCAAGTAAGTCTGTTTTTAATATTTTTAATTGCACAGTGATAATTCTGATCATCTACTCCCTTCTGGTTTATTCATGGGTTCAAGCCTCTTAGTGATTTAATATCACCCACTATCTTCAATAACAATCTTAAGACAATTTGGTGTTTTGAACCCGTGATCAGTATATTCTGTTTTCTGTTTTATATACTGTTTTTATTTACTATATAATTAAAAGATTAATCTGTGTGATTGATCGGAGTTTCTGTTTGTGTAACAGAAATGTAATTTATAATCTGTGTTGAGTGTTTGATTTGTGAACATTCAAATGGTGAAATATTTATTTTGATATTTTATAAATATTAATATATATTTTAGTTTTTATGAGTATCGATTTTTCCTTGAATATTCATCTGTGTTTGAATATTGGAAGTGATGCGTTTAATCTGCATCTAATTACGAAAGTATAGATTTTTCGTTGATAATATAGGATTAATCTGATACTTGAATAGCGATTTTCCTGCATATATACCATATTGATTCGTAACTTGAAAAGTTTTTATTGGCTTTTCTCGGTAAATGTGCCAAATGATTTGCATGGCCTTTGAAAGTTGAAACCGTGAACAACAGTGTTAATTTCTTTTCACAATATCATCTCGATTGTCGTGCCAATTGCCTTCAAATAGAATTTGAAATTTGTTCTACAGTGTTGGTTCTGTATATTAGTTTGAAACTTTTCTCAAAGTAATGCGCTGATTTTGATGTTACGAAAATCAAAAAAAAAAAATGTTCCAATATTATGAATCAGAAGATATAAAGCAATGCCTCAATTCGGATGGAAAGAAACCGTTTGGCAGGTTTCGGAAACCGTGTATATGTGTTTTTCCTGTTTCACTTATTCACGGTTAATCCATTGTTGGTGTCTTTTATTGGAGGCATTATTTTATTGTTATAATGATATGATTTTGGCAGCCATGGATGCAATACTGTGTGGAATTTTTGCATCAATATGTGTGGTGGGCCATGGTGGCATCAATTTATGCATGCATATATATATATATGCATTGATGTTTGTATCATAACATGTTGATATCAGTTTTGTTTTTTTGATTACAAAACACGTACGAATGCTAATTTGTACTTGATGAATCCATTGTTGGTCTCATTCATTGTCTTTTATATCTGATATCGGGGATGGATGTTCATGGCTGAAATAAGCATCATGTTTAACGGCTACATATTAAAGTGACAGTTATCTTATAAAAAAAAAAAATGGTTTCTATGAAAGACATAGATATGTCCAGGATTTACCATGTTGCGTGTATAACTTTATATATAAAAAAATTTCATGTGTGTGGAAGGATTCTTTTCAATTGGTTTGAGATTGAATCATATAATTTTTTAGTTTGTTGTTCTACATTAGAAGTGGAAAACTCTTGCTAATAACTTCCCTTGCGCATACGCATAATGACTGGTTCTGTTATCAGTCTATAAATTTTGAGAACATGCAAGGTTGGGCGGGCTTGGCTGTCGAACTTTGATATGTATATATATGACTGATTGATGCATTACGGCTTAAAGGAATTTTTTCTAAAGGGGGCATTGATATAAATGACCTATATATGTGTTTTAGCCACGGGTTATGTTCAATGAGAAATGCAGTGAAATTTGATGCCATTTAATGGTATATAGTATGAAAATGAGAAATTTTATGACATGAATGTTTTGTTATATTAATTATTATGTGTGAAATGTCATGCATTTATTGCCATTCAATGGTATATGGTACACTTAATGGATTTGATGGTATATGATGGTGTTCGATATCCATTAACTCGTGACTTATAAATGTGAAAGTTTGACTTTATGATTTAGGCAAGTAATAATTATTGCTTAAAAAATGCACTATGTGCTTTGATGGATATAAAAAATCTTATATCTAGTGAAATATTTGATACTATGTGAACTCAAAAGAGCTATCGTAGTGATGGCATGATCAAAGTCAATGTGATGACTTTAAATGTTGTCAATGACATGATAATTGTATACTATTTTATGGTAATGTTCAGTAAGAAAATTAAAGGCATAAGGAGCAATCTAGTGGAGAGAGTATGCTACCCCTTCGAGAAATTTTGTTTTAAGGTTTGGTATTACATACCAAAAGATGGCTCCTTATGCTTCAGAATCCAATAGGATTGCTAAGAAAAAGACCCAGACATTAAATGAAATGATATTGTTGATGTCTGGTTTGTGGGGGAAAGTCATTTAATGACAAATTATAAATAATCCCTAAAGTACCCCACAAGAAAATTAAGAACAGCCCCTATGAAATATGGAAAGGTAGGGAGCCTACCTTGAATTATCTTGAAGTGTGGGGGTGTTTGACAAATAACATACCATATGACATATGGAAAGGAAAGAAGTCATCCCTGAAATACTTTAGAGTATGGGGGTGCTTGGCTAAGGTTGCGGTTCCTAAACCCCAAAGGTTGAAAATCGGACCTAAAACCGTTGATTGTGTATTCATCGGTTATGCACTTAATAGTAGTGCTTATCGGTTTCTAGTGTATAAATCTGATGTCTCAGATATACATGCTAATACGGTTATTGAGTCAAAGGAAGTTACTTTCTTTGAAGACGTATTTCCGTATAAGAGGATACCTGAATCAAGTGGTAATAATGATGATCAGGTTGTGATACCTCAGGATGCTACAATTGATACTGATCCTGTAGAGGATATAGAAGATGAACCTAGACGTAGCAAGAGGCAAAGGACCGCCACATCTTTTGGACCTGATTTTATGACATATTTATTAGAAAAATGAGCCTCGAACATATAAGGAAGCTATAACGTCTCCGGAAGGACCATTCTGGGAAGAAGCTATCAATAGTGAGATAGAATCTATCTTGTCCAACCACACTTGGGAATTGGTAAATCTTCCTACTGGCAATAAGCCTTTAGGGAGTAAGTGGGTTTTCAAAAGAAAAATGAAAGAGAATGACACTATTGATAAATATAAAGCAAGGCTTGTGGTAAAAGGTTACAGGCAACGTGAAGGTCTCGATTATTTCGATACTTATTCACCGGTTACAAGGATCACATCCATTAGGATGTTGATCGCGGTAGCTACATTGAATGGATTACAAATACATCAAATGGATGTTAAGACCGCCTTCTTAAACGGCGACCTGGAAGAAGAGATATATTTAGAACAACCTGAAGGTTTTGTTGTTCCAGGACTAGAACGGAAAGTTTGTTGC